ATAAATTCATCGTTCGCGTAGGCGACACGGCGGTAGACCGGGGCCAGTTGCGCCGCTTCTTTGGGTCGTAACTGCATCAGATCGTAGAGAGACAGAGCAGAATCGATCGTTATTTTCTCCGCCTTGTCCCGCAATTCCTCGTCGTCGTACCACCTATTTTCGAGATTCGCCGACGACTCGTCGAACATCCCGTTCTTGGCAAAAAATTTCATCACGGTATATGCGTCGCTTCGGTCCAGCTCGTATCCCATGCTCTCCAGGAGCTCGACGACCAGCGCAGCACTCGAGGCCGGATCCAGCTTGAAATTTCGCCAGGCGCCGGCGTCCCATCCCTCGAAGGCCTCGTCGAAGCGACTCGAGGCGGGGAAAACGAAGTCGGCCGGATCCGCTCCCCTCGCCAAGAGTGCCTCGACGTTCCTCGGCTGGAGACTCGCCACGGCCCATTGCAGCGGTGTCAGGCCCTCCTTATCTTTGGCGTCGACCGACAACGTCTCACCTAACTCGTCGCAGATCTCGAATATCAGCTGCACCGAGCCGTCGTCGTCGAGCTCGCGTCCCCCGGGGGCGGCCCTCTTGCAAGCCGCGTGCAGAGCCGTCGATCCTCCACTGGTGTCGGTCAGGTGCGGATCGGCGCCTCTCCGAAGCAGAGACTCGGCCAGCTTCTTTCTGCCGTGGGTCAGAGCCAAGTGAAGCGGTGTCCTTCCCTGATTGTCCCGGGCGTCGATCGGCACCGCCCAACTCCGGAGCTCGAACAAGTGCCTCGCCGTCCTGTCGGCTTGGTCGTCGCTGCTGCTGCACCGAGCAGCCACGTGCAGAAGCGTCGAGCCCTCGGCATCGACCTCGTAAGGATCGGCGCCTGCGGTTATCAGCAGCTCGGCGACCAATGCCCTGTTGTAATTGTCCTTGCTCAGAGCCAAGTACAGCGGCGACCTGCCCAACTTGTCCCGGGCGTCGACCAGCACCTCCCGCAGTGTCTCCAGCCGATTCTCGTAGTAGGCACAGTACAGCATATACAGCCAGTGATCGCTCGGGGCGCCTGGAATTTCCGGCCTCTGACAGATGACGTGCAGCGACGTCGAACCCTCGTCGTTGGCCAGATTGGGATCGGAGCCGTGCCTCAGCAGCTCCCTGGCCCAAACCATCCGACGCAGTCTCAGCGCCGAGTGCAGCGGCGTATCGCCCGACTCGTCTCGCGCGTCGAGTTTACCCCTGCATCCGTCGATAAGCTCCTGGAACGGCTTTGGCAAGTGGGAGAAAAAGTCGTCCTCGCGGCGCACGGCGCAATGCAGAGGAGTCTCTCCGTTGACGTAGTTGGCCAGGCTCGGGTCGGCGCCTTGGCTCAGCAGCAGCTCGAGCATCTCCAGGTTGCCCGAGCGCACGGCCAGGTGCAGCGGCGTCTCGCCCAACTTGTCCCGGGCGTCGACGTTCAGCCGCTTGTCCGTGCACTCGTCGATCGTCTCGAGGAAGAGATCCGCCGGGCCCCTGCCTTGGTCGCGTCTCTGGCAGAGATGGTGCAGAGGCGTCAACCCGTTGTCGTCGGCGGCGTTCGGATCGGCGTCTCTCTTCAGCAGCACTCGGAGGATCTTCGGCTGTCGGTCGTCCCAAATTTCGAGCGCCTGGTGCAGAGATGTCTTGCCCTCCTTGTCCCGGGCGTCGACCAACACCGGCCTCGGGCTCAGCTCGAATACCATCTCGGCCAAATCATCGAATTTCCTCTTGGCAGCGAGGTGCAGACACGTTGCGCCGTCCTCGTTGGCCCAATTGGGATCGGCATCTTTGCCGAGCAGCGACGAAATCACTCGGGGCTGATAATGTTCCACGGCCAGATGAAGCGGCGAGTCGCCCGTCTCTCGCCAAACGACGTTCGGATCCTGACCGGCCTCGAGGAATTTCTCCACCATCTCTTGGCAGCCGTACTTGCAGGCCACATGGAAATGCGTCAATCCAGTTTCGTCGCGGTAATTCACGTCGCAGCTGTCGTACAGGCTGAACAGATCGGCCACGAGGTAATCGTGGCTAGTCTTGGCCGCGCAGAGCAGCGCCGTGGAGCGCAGAGCCAGTGGCTTGGCTGCGTCGTCGAGCTGATCGGGCTCGTCCCTGTAGCCGGTCGAGATCACGAACCTCACGAGGATCCCCAGGTCGATCTCGTCGTTGCCGCAATTCACGTACTCGATCGACTCGCGAACGAGCTGATCGATTTCCGCGCCGCGAAACGCGTCCCGCAAATTCGGCAGTCGGCCCTTCCAATCGCGGATCAATGAATAAAAGTCACGGAGGAAATTGCGTCGCTCCGATTGGATCTCCCAATTAACCTTTTCTCGCAATTCCCTGAGTTTTTCCTCGTTGACTTGGCCGTAGTATTCTTCGGAATCATAGTCGTCGAATGTCGCGTTCATTGTTTAGCTTAATTGCACTTGCACACACAGTCCGTAATTTGAGATATCTTTTCGAGTTTTTAATATAACTTGAGGCGCACTTTTTCTTGTTTTCGCTGCGGTTGATGCGATCTTGACGCTGTGGCGACTTAACGTGTACTGATGAACAATGTAACGATCTATTTACTGCGCGTAGTGTATAAAACACGTGTAGGCGATGCAATGAGAGATGGAAGTAACGCGAGTCATGTTCAGTAGAGAAGGTGAAAGTGTAGCATAGAGATGTGGTGGAGGCCACATGTACACGCCTACTTCACTTGATTTACATCTTTCTAATCGTTTGATTGAACGACTCCATCTGTTCGTGCATAGGTGAAGTTTGACTGAGAAACTCGTACGGATATGTGTAGCGCGTGAAAGAGACAGATAGAGCCGTTACAATATTAGGCTGCGTTCACCTGAAATTGTATTCGGTGCGTGAAATTCTATCAAAAGTAAGCGCAGGTAGAGAATAATATTTGAGTACGAGTATTGTCTTTTACGTCGATACAAGACTACTTACTTATTCACAGTTCGTCACAATAAATAGAAGGATGCATTGGTATAACTTACGCACCAACATGGATATCAGTAGGAAAAAATTCAGAATACTTTTTGATATTTGTCAGGAGCCATTTACACAGGAAGGTAGCATGATAAGACATCGAAATGCGGTGCACAATGAACAAAAAAATTAGGCTTGTGACAAGTGTGACAAGAAATTTGAGTTCCAATGTAATTTGATTAGACACCAAGTATTATTACCGTATTTAAAAAACACATGCGTGCGTCGACTGTCGAGTGTCGAGCGATCTGCGATACCATTGACGATATCAGCGCCTCTACAAACTCAAAGTGGCGGTCCGGATCTGACTCCTGACTTCCTGAGTTGCTGCAGCTGCACCTCTGAAAGGTACACAGGAGACAATTAAAAAGACAAGCAAAACTGAAAATGTTTGAATTCGTTGTAATAAGAATTTTTTCAATAATAGAAACCCAAGATGACACATAAAAATCATTCATGACCACGTAAGATCGGGAAAAAGTTTTCAATGCAATATATGTGATAACTTGAGTAGCCACATGAAAGTTCATTGGAAAAAGAAATAAATAACACACTATGTTATGTAATAAATATGCTGATGATAATGATCTATAGTAATAGGTCAAACCTCGAATTATTTTCTAAAAAAGTAAAACGATCACCTAAAACTTTAAAAAAAGTTAGAAAGAAAATTATATCGATTTTATAAATTGAATGTATGTTCTGTAACGTGACCCTTACTACATAGTACCTTTAGAAATCTTAATAAAAATCGGTAATTGGCTTTTTAAAACCAGTTGGAATAATAGATCATCTGTAGAACATTTAGAACAGTGTTAGAATATTACATAATTTTCAACAAAAATAAGTTCAAAGTTAACCGTGTAAACTTGAAATGCTCCGTGCAAATTAGTTACAAAAATGAAAGAAAAGTGCAAAAAGATTTTTTTTTAATTAAATTTACATTTATTTGCTTCATGTTTCAATGTTGCTTCTTTTATCAAGTTTATAATTAAATTTGTATGTACATACATTCGTGTATCAACGAACTACGCTATAGAGCGTACGAACATGAAAAGAAAAAAAAAGTTTTTAATCCACGAGTATGCAATTTTAAATAAAAACAACGTACCCATAAGAAAAAAACCCTTTTTTTTTTATAATGCCTTTGATTTTTTGTTGTTTTTTTTCTCCACTTTTGATAGCTTGTAAATGCTTTTTTTTATGTTGGTGGGCAAACTGTATTTTTTCAAAAAGCTGGGAAAATTATCCAGTGCATTAGAATTACATTTGTATACCTTCGACACAAGAGCATCTATTGTATACATCTCGCGGTCTCTCTCTCTCTCTCTCTCTCTCTCTTTAACTCTCGAGAGAATTAAGCATAAGCTTTTATATATATAAGTCTCGCTCGAAATAGCGAGTTTTAAATCAAAAAAAGAGATACCACTCCGCGAGTGGGAACGAAAAAATAAAAGGCGTAAGGAAAAAGAGAGAATTATAAAATACAAAGGTCGCCCGAGTCGGTGACTGGTGAGTTTGCGAGTGTGTGTTCGTGTGCTGATGTGCGCGTTTGTGTGTGCGACTGTGTGTGTACGTGTGTGCGAAACATTCTAAATACGACCCACGAGTCGCGAATAGTCATTGATATGTGTAGTCCGTCTGTCCCGTCTGTCTGGCGTTAAAGCTAATCGACTTGCATCGTTAATCTGCTTCGGCTCTGCGAACGTTGTGTCGCTCGTTTCATGGTGCACAAGGTAGATATATTAATTCAGATAACTATCGGAGCAATTTCGCAACGCGGTTCCCGCGAGTCATTGAAATCAATTCGTCGGAGTTTATAATATATATATACCAACTAACTGCAGCAGTCCTGGCTCGGTGCCTCATACACAAGGAGAAAAAAAAACACGCCTACTGTGTAATTATAGGTAGTAGTGGTATAGTGTACACCACACGCCAGATGTATATATGTGCATGTGTATAATGTGTTGGTATACACACACGCGCCGTGCAGTGACACGATAAAATTCACTTTGGAGCGCCTTACTAATATTTTTATTTTCCTTTTTTATTTTCGCCAAACGAAAAGCGCGTAAATAGCATTTGTCGTATATATATACGTGCGTGCGTGCCCGTGCTTATATTTACGAATATAGCTGTTCTGTGCAAAGCAGCAGCAGCAGCATCAGTAGCAGAGAGTCGTTCGCTCGAGCGTTAAGGCGTTTTTATAGGATCTTCGGAAATTCGTCTCTTTTTCGTGATAAATATAAACCTCGAATCGGTGCACACAGCTCGACGGCGGCTGCACGATTTTCGTATGTGTAAGAGACATTTGTGAACGTGCGAGGGAGACGGGCAGACACTTTAGGAAAGAGAGAGAGACTTTCATAGAGGAAAATAATTCATGCCTCTTCAGATTCAATGGCATTGTAAATATAGATCCGCTGTTTAAAGCAAATGTTCCATTGCTGCATATGTTTCTTTGCTCCTCGTCACTCTCATTCTCAACTGTACTTGAAGTTTCTGCAACCGCCAACTAGATACAAAAACATTGTGTATTTCGTTTAACTGTTCCAGTCCTTTGCACTTCTTACAATCTATAACAATAACAACTAGGTAAATATTCTATTGAAAATCTTGAATCTTTGTGATGTGCTTATCAACAAGCATCATTTATTACTTATATGCACAATTTATTTATTGTAGAGTAATTAAGAGAAGATAGCGTTGTGCATTTTTAAGATAGTTATACCAACCAAAGAAATTGTATATAGATTATAGCTTTGCAATAACAGCTCATTTTAATATTTTTTATCATTAAACTATTGCAGAAATTTCAAAATGAGTTCAGGAAGACCAATCAAGTGCGTGGTTGTTGGAGATGGTACTGTTGGAAAGACATGTATGTTAATTTCCTACACTACAGATAGTTTTCCAGGAGAATATGTGCCTACAGTGTGAGTTATCATTTCTAAAGTTGTATTGTAGTTAAGGAAATATTCTTACAGAACTGTATTTGTAAAATTAAATGGTTTTCAGATTTGACAATTATTCAGCGCCAACAGTAATTGATGGCATTCCAGTGAGTTTAGGCCTATGGGATACTGCTGGTCAAGAAGACTATGATAGACTTCGACCCCTTTCTTACCCACAAACAGATGTTTTTCTTATTTGTTTTTCTGTTACCAGCCCATCTTCATTTGAAAATGTAACTAGTAAATGGTATCCAGAAATTAAGCATCATTGTCCAGATGCACCTATTATTTTAGTAGGAACAAAAATTGATCTACGAGATGATAGGGAAACACTTACAGCTTTAGCCGAGCAAGGATTGAGTGCCATCAAACGTGAGCAAGGCCAAAAATTAGCTAACAAGGTAAATTAAAAGTGCTGATAATGTTTTGAAAGTACAAAGTTTATATCTTGTTTTGACCATGACATTATAGAACAATACTTTGATGTTAATTTTATCAATATTTTCACAGATTCGAGCAGTAAAATATATGGAATGCTCTGCCCTTACACAAAGAGGATTAAAACAAGTGTTCGATGAAGCTGTTCGTGCTGTATTACGGCCTGAACCTCAAAAACGTAGACAACGAAGGTGCAGTGTGGTATAAATTTTGAGTCAAGACTAAGTATACAAATGAAAATCGTTTTTTATCAAGTTAATTTAATCTTGATTTAATAGTTGAAAAGGGCACAAAATGAAGACTTATTTTGCTAATGTTACTGTTCAAATACTGTTTACCAGTTCAACTTTGTGTTTACTCTTTTTATGAATCTGTGCTAATCTTTAGGGTAACAACAATTCTACTTGAAGCACAAAGTATAAGAAATGATTATTAATGAATTCTTTCCTACTTTATATAATACTGCCATAATTAATATAAAAGAATTAATTTTTCTTGAAAGCCATGATTAAGACTCTCTAGAAAATGTGTACAATGATATTAAAATTTAATGATAACACAGAATATTAAAAATGTCAAAGTTAAGCATGTATTATGATAGTAGAGAAGCAAAATAGAGTTGTTGTTCACATATTATCGTTGTATAAAGCAGAATCACATTTTTATATTTAAATCAATTATTTGAAAACGTATAACTGTATTATTGACACAAAGCAAAACATTAGTGAAAGTAGATAAAAAAATACGAATTCAAATGACAAAAATATAAAATGTTTGCTAAATGACAGTCAGTGGCAGAAGTAACACGTTTGTCAGTCTACGAGTTACCTCATTAATGAATACTAATCAAAATAGAATTATAGATCATTATATGAATATGAAAAGTATGATAAAAGTTAAGCCACATAAAATTCAGTAGTCCGAGGTAAAAACTATTTTACATAAGTTTCATGAATGAACAAAACAAGTAATATGCAATGCCATAAAATATTGAAATGAATGAAAGATTCAATAGCCACTTGACTACTGAACAATCAAACGACGAATATTCCTTTATGTGCTATTTTTTATATATGATATTGATAAAAAAACATAGATTATGAACGAATTGCGAAAGGCGTGCCATAATGCTTTCCGATTGTGAAAATCAAGTATATAAGTAATGTTCAAACTTTGTTGCAAGGATAGCATGGTACTTCATCAATCTTATTTGAATGAAAAAGAAAGAATATGAATGAAGAAAGAATATGAAATGTATAAAAGAAAGAAAATTAAAAACTAACGATAATTGATGCTTGTTAGATGTGTATATAATGTAGTATAGAAAATTGAAAGAATCTCAGAGATGTAAAAGCTCTTTGACTGTGAATTTGAAATCTTTCAAAAAACATTGACTCAAATGTAAACGAACGATAAAACGAATTGATTGACTGAGTTTATAAAGTTCTTTAATATTTTGCAATTTTTAAAGACGTTGCTTTAAGTTCAGGCAGCTAAAATACTCAATATGAAACATCGACTTATATAAGTAATTTTTGTAAAACCAGATTTCGGGTGATTAAGAAAACTAAATAATTTCCATACACTTTTGTGTAAGAATTTGATTTTTCAGTATAAAATTATTCCGAATCTGATATTTTTTAAGATAACAAACAGCCATATTCAACGTCACTTTAGAATTAATTTGAAGTTGGATTTTTTCACAAAAGTTATAAGCTCTTGATACTTTATTTAGATTTAAATTTGCAGCTATTTTAAATATATTAGATCAATTGTTTAGAATTTATATTACAAAAAAAAAAATATAAATAGCAATGTTTAATATCAATTGCTACCCAACCAAAGTAATGTTTCACAATTTTATTTTGTTCGCTTAACATTTTGTGCACGACCCTTATTATACTGAATGTATTTAAAGATTTTCTCATTGAGTAAAAATTGTCAAAATTTGATATCATCTAGTCACTAAAATCAATTTCTGACAATTTTTCTTTTATTCCTCGAATTATATATGCTAACTAAATTAAGGGAAGTGTACTAAAATAAGCCGATAAAAATCAAAACTGAAAAGTTGATCTTCATTATGTATTGTACAAACTTCAAGAAAAGTTTCGTAATTTTTCATAATTTCGTCAACTTTATTACACTAACATTAAGGTGAAATACAGCCGACTTCTAAAGAAATTATCCACTTGCGCAAAAGTAATCTCATATGTTATTTCATAATTACTCTTTTTATTTTAAGTATTGTGAGTGCGATAAATATAATTGCTATAAATATTTCATTATGTAATCTTACTTTTTACTCAAAAAAAGAAAAAGAAAAAATAAGTAAGTTATTTTTTCAACTTTTTTACGTATACAATATTCTTTGTGCAAAGTCAACAAACAAAAATTGCAGATACTTTGTTCTTGGCTTTCGTGATTTATAAAATATAAAAGCATTATACAAAGTTTTGCGCGCTTAACGAATCTCGGATGATTTCGATGAAATACTCAATTATATAAGCGTATAAAATATATTACATTATTAAATTTTGTAAAATCGACGACGCAACGCGTCTGCCAATGTTGTAAAAGACTCGCATTGTTTATGATTTTAATACCTCGAAATGTTCGCTTTACTTCTCACAGCGAGGATGTAGACAAAATGAGAAAATTAAATTTTTTTATCGATGGTATGGAAAGAAAGAAGAGCTACGCGCTAAAAGTGCACACATGACCAGGATGAAACGAAGAAACATTTATTTTTTATTTGAAAAACTGTACTTTGAAGGAAATTTTCCTATCGTAATAAATTTCTAACATCGACTCACGTACACGTCGACCCCATTTATTTATTTACGATTTTCAGCCCTCCCTGTTCTTTTTTTTCCAATCAAAATTCGCCCGTCGAACGGGGGGTAGCAAACTACCGTTTCAAAAAGCTGTGGCAGCTGTAAAGTGACGCATAATGATTTCTGTGGGCAACGCTAGCCGAATTTCCGGCGCTACCATCCAGAGATCTCTCGACGCGCGCGTTGATGAACCATCTAAAGAAAAAAAAAATAACTCGTGTCTCCGAGCTTTTTTTCTTTCCGTCTCTTTCTTTTTCTCGTACTGTACATTCGTACTATATATCGCGCGATGGCCTGGTGCGGCGACGGCGCGCGCATATAGTGCAAACCTCGCGCAGGCCAGTGGTGGAGTTCACGCGAGCGAAAAACTGTACGATATTCGCGCACAGCAGGCGATCTACCGTGTGCGCGACAACTATATAACAGCAGCAGTCTCTGGATTGCTCCGAGCTGCTGACTGGCCCTCTTTTCTCGTCATTGACCTCGACGTCAGCACATTTATAAAAGAGAGATCTCTGCCGCGGAGCAGCAGCTATCGTTGCATTATTACAATTTACACTGCCTTGGTGCACTCGCGCGAGTGTGAGTGGTTCTTCGTAATATAGCTGTCTGTCTACTGCTGTGTGTGTGTGTGTGCAATTCCACGCGCATTACATGCATTGAAAACGATTGAGATCATCGCGAGGACGGCTTCGTTAACAATCATGTACGTACACACACCATCATTTATAATAATAAATAAATAGCGTAAAAATGAGCCGAAGAGAAAAAGCAACCGTCCCGCTCTCCTCCGCGCGATATCGTTTTTGCAATGGACGATTCGCGAACGTCGATGAAACCAGTCCTCGAACGTGAATTTTTTTCGTTCGTTCTCATTATCAAATATGCTCTCCTTTTTCTCGTTCACTCTCTCTCTCTCTCTCTGTAAATCATCTCTTTTTTATGTGTTCGCGCTCGCTCGTTCGGGCGCGCTCGTGTGTGTGTATCTTTTTTTTAAATTCGCTCATACTCATATCGCAGCCTGTTCCTTTTTTATTTTTTTTTTAATTTTTGCACGTTACATGTTGTTTCTCCATTCAATTATAGGTTGACGACGAGACGACGGAGGACTGCGAGCGGGTACATTTGTCGTAGTGGTCTGCGCCGTAGTGGTGGTGGTTGTTGCGCTGGTGGTGGTAGCGGTGAAGAATTATTATGTGTCTCATCATCACTCGCATCGCGGAGATCAGCAGCAGCAGCAGCAACAGCACGACCATCAACGGCGACAGCGGCAAGCAGCGGCAGCAGCAGCAATGGCGGAATTAGAATACATAACGCGATTTAACTTAGGCATCGCCGTCGTTGTCCACGTCGTTCTACGTTGATTAGAAAAAGGAGAAGAGGAGACGACATACGCACGCACCGCTGCTCTCTCGCTCTGGCTGCCTCGACGTCGCTTCTTTCCTCTCACGTAAAATTTCACGCACTCGCCTCGATCGCGCGATTCTATCTCGCGAATATATAAAAAGAAAAACGAAGAATCACGGGTGGAACCCTACCCCGGATCGTTATATTTTATATATTCAAAAGCGAGAACCATATCGTGCGCATCTCGCTCTCTATCGCTCTCTCGCCGCTGCTGTTGCCACTGCTTTTTAACGGAAAAAAAGGGAGCCGCAGCTGACCGAGCAGACGAATCATCCTTGCGACTCGCGGGGGACAAGGACCGTCGACGCTCTTGTGCGAAAATTGCGATTTGCAATCGTCGTCGTGCCAAGGTTGGTGGCAAAAAATTTTTTTTTTGTTATTATTTTTTCATACTTCTCGAAGCACCCTTCTCTCTTTCTCGCGGCAACGTCGCGCGACGCGATCGCGATGTGCGATTAGATGCGCGCGCTAAAGCCAATCGAATCGATCCCGTATTAGTGTTTTATTGCTCGATTATCTCGTTCTATTTTTACATTCGATCCGTATGGCTCATCGATATACCATATTTACATGATGAGGCCAGGTTCTTTCGCGGATTCGGTCGAAGACGGTTATGCCCCGAAGCCGAGTGGGAATAACCTGTTCGCGCCTTTTTTTCTTTTCTTTTTGGAGCCACGTGCGCAACTGCCTAAAACTTCTCGCCACGGCACAAGGCCTGTTACGCGTTCGAGATTTTATTCGTCATTTTTTTTTTTTTTGTAATCGCGATATCATCGTTCATTTATTTTTGCCACTTTCCACTGACAAAAAACGTTCATCCTATCGATTCTTTTGTCAAAGTGGCACGGGAGAATTAGTGTTGAATTCTCGGGCTAGCGCGAGAGCGAGTGCTCCGATTTTCATATAAAGGCCACACGTGTTGCTCACCTCTCTCTATCTCTCTCTCTTTCTCACTCGCTCGATGGCCTTGTTCCAGTGATAAAGAGCCAGTTTTCTATGTAAGCTAGTTGTGATTTTCATTTTTTGTTATAAAAAACGCGCTTCGTTACGTCGACGTTTAATGACAAATCAGAAAGCGAGCTCGCTCGTCGTGTGCAACTCCTCCGGTAAAAAGAGAGACACGCTCGGTGTCGCGTTCGCTGCCTGCCTGCCTCTGCATCTGCGTGCGCGCCGCGTTGCTCTTGCATTGTAAAAGGTGCGGTTGTCGCAAGCCAGCCAGCATACGCGGCGCACAGCTGCAGAATTCGTAAGTGGTTATCGTTGCTTCATTCGTTCATTTTCTGCCTACTCATTCATTCTGTTTGTTGACACGTTCATTTCGCGACCGAGACGCTTATTTCACTCGAATTCTCACGTACGCATATTTTTTCTGGTCAATAACGAGGAGATTTAACCCGATGGTAACCTTTATTATTGGTTAGGTTAGTGATCCTTTGAATCTCCTACAGTAATTACATGGTTTTCCTGTCTATTCTGAATTTTTAAGAAAATAGATCTCAAGAACCTTGTAACATACAGTTTTAAAAATTATTTATTTAATATGAAAAATTGTGGCTCTGTAAAAATGTTCTTAATCAATGTTCATTTTTAGGACAAAGTCAAATCTGAATGGAAGAGTCAAATTCTTTTCCGGAAAGTAGAGTTGATGCTCTACTAATTCCGGAATATCCTGAAGCCGATGAGGTAATGGAACTTGGGGAAATTAGTCCACTGACAACTTCTCTGGATCATCACTTGATCATTAAAGATCAATCGCCAAAATCTGAAAAGATGGGTGTCGAAAACAATTGGGGAGAAGCGAATGGCCCTGATGTATCTACACTAGATTTGCCAGTGTTTGGACCTTTTCAAGAGTTTCCTAATAAATCATGCGAATCAACTGATTATTACCAACAAAATGGAAAACATGAAGATGAAGGAAGTGTATTACATTCACAAAGAAACAATGATGACACCCAAGAACGAGTTGGTATGTTAAGTTCGAGCACAAGCACTTGAACCATGTACAATTTTTTTATTTTGCATGCCGTATTTATTTTGTCAAAGAGAAACTTCATATTCCATTTCAAAAGTTTTCCATATGAATATTAAGTTGTCGCATTGTTTAAACACAGCAAATAGATTTTCTGTTATCAGAAATAATCTTTGATATGTGTTTAAATAGCTGGCGTTTGTGGCCTTCACAATCTTGGCAATACTTGCTTCATGGCTGCTGGGTTACAGTGTTTAACTGCAACACCGACAGTGCAACACCATTTTCTCCAATTACAAGAAAATAGCGAAAAATTACCTCCGCCAGGAACATTGATGAGCAACTTTAGCTTTTTACTAAGTGAAATGTGGTCAGGAGCACATGATGTGCTTCATCCCACTGAGTTCAAAAAGGCACTTGGACTTCATCATTCTCAATTTAAAGACTATAGACAACATGACTGTCAAGAATTTTTAGCCTTATTATTAGATAGTCTCCATGAGCAAATGAATTTAGCTAAAACAAACAATAGTTGCTATGTGCCCAGCGCAACTGCCACATCTGCCAGTAGTACTATATGTACAGATATTAATTTGAATTCTAATGATGATTTATACGCTTTAAGGACTAGTAGCATAACTGCTTCTAATGTCTCCAAATTTATGGATCAACTTGATGATGGTCCACCATCATTTGAAGATGGTCCAAATAGTCCAAATATTACTATGGCTGGGTCACCAAAAGACTCTCTAGACGACATGGACAGTACAGCTAACTCAGCTCGAAGTTCACCTATGGATATAGATGAAGAAACATTAGATTCAGAAGACATTGGTGATCACCGTACCAGATTCATTCATAATGACATGCGCGATTTGTTAAACGATGATGCTGAACTCGAAAAATATATTGAAAAAAATGCCAAAACAAGCAATACCAATTTTCTCATCACGTCAGAGGATTATAACAACGGAATTTGCTATGATTCTCAAAAATTTCCAAAAGATAATAATCGAAGAATCCCATTAGAAAATGCCAATCTCACTGAAAATCATGACTTTGACAACAAAAGCATCTGTACCAAGCGAATTAAAGAAGTGAACTGCGAGCGTGACCATTGTAATAATTCTGAATGTGGTGTAACAAGCACTGTAGAAAATGAATGTGAAAGTAGATTAGAAAAAAGTAATGTGAAGCGCAGGCGTCTCGCGGACCTTGGGAAAGTTTATAAACCAGATGGGCTGGAATCCATTGTATCACAAAACACTCAAAGTAATGAGAATGGGGCTATAGCACTGGAAGATGAAGTTGAAGCTGACAAGCATTGGTCGAAACATCTAGAAGAAAACCGTAGTATTATAGTTGATACCTTCCAGGGTCAGTTTAAAAGCACGGTAAGCCCTCAATTATTACACAATGCAAATATTATAATAAAGATTTTTTATAAGTTATAAATGGAGATTACGTCGGTATGTGACTGATATAACCAAGGTTTACATCGTAAAATATCTCCAAGATCAAACACAATCAAATCCTATTCACTTTTGTTTACATCAAATTTGAATTTCAGAGAATTGTGACATTATCATTATTTGATCATTTTCTTTCTTCTTTCAAATTTTCTTGAGATGTTTATTTTTAAGTTTTCTTCTCCTAAAATGAATTCAATATCTTAATAAAATAAATTACATTTTGTTTACAGGTGGTGTGTGAAGCATGTAAACACGTTTCCATGACTTATGAACCATTTATGTATTTATCAGTCCCATTGCCACATGCAATGGAAAGACAATTCAGTGTAACATATGTTTCTGCAGATGGTACTCAACCGATTCATTGTGTGATAACACTTAATAAAATGCAAAAACTTAAAAATCTTAAAATGGAATTGGTGGAGATGCTGGACAAAAAAGACGTACGTTTGTCAGACATAGCATTGGCTTTGGTTTTTGCTCATCATGTTTCCAAAATTCTGGTAAGAAAAGTTTGAAAGTAATATATTTAGTGATAATTGGAGGGTTTAGAAGGTGGTATGCTCGATAGTTATAGACTGCCGTCGATACTGCCCTCCCATATTATTATAACTTTGGTAGAACATTTTTGTGATTGAGAGTTTAATTACAAAGCTACATTCCAAAGTACATTTTTTTAATAATTAATTCAAGTATTGCAATGATGATTGTTTAGTTGTCTTAAGAGTTTACATTAACGTGTCATGTTTTTATAGGACGAAAATATGCTACTACGAAAAGTAGATGATACCAACCGTTCAATTTATGCGTTTGAATTATCTTCGCCTCCGCAACCATGGGGTATCAATGGATCTTCGTCCGAGTATCATTGGAGTTCAGTTTCTAACAGTTTTGAATTGTTGAGTAAACCTGGAACTTCGAATGGAATTTCACCATCTAAATCACTCAACCCAAATGATGCTATAGCTGAAGACGTGTGCACAATTTGTCTTGATGAAAACAATGACGATCTCAAAAAGCACACAAACGAAGCTTGCACATTAATTATTTGCGATTCTTGTATTGAGGTATGTTTTTTCATATAATTCTTCAAAAATTTTTCATATACAAATTTTTTATAAAATAGATCATTTTATTCACAAATATTAACGCTTTAAATGCGGAGTCTTCATGCTCAATACTCAATGATGAAAGTGGCAGTGTCAATCTCGCAGCAGGGGTGTACACACAGGTACTTAGTTACCTCAAACCTCACCTCGGGAAGGTCTGAGATAAGGTCATAATATATGCTCTAGACGGGCAATGTCTTCAAAGGCATGCGCTGGAACCAGAAATTCCTCGGGGGTGTCGAATAAAATATTTTTATCGCCTGGGATGCTCATGTAATGTGCGGAGGTGTGATGCCGCCCGAGATGGAAGCTGGCGTGACCCGCATTTTTAGTTCAATCTGCGAGCCTCTTCGGTAGTTGGAGTTTTCTGGCTACCGATTGGAACTCAATTCAGACTAGTCTGACACTGTCACGCCACTGAGAGTTTTTATGGCATGGCACTAATATTAGTTTTTTAAATTATTTATTTACAATATTTATAATGGCTCAACTTTGTTTCAATAGGATTTCACTTGACATTTATTTTTTATTAATTGATGATAGTTCTCAGTTAAAAAATGTATTTCATTCAAGTTTTTTTCACAACCTTTATTGGTTTTCATTTATTATTATTGAATTTGTATCACTATTATATATTTTATTTGTATTTGCAAATCTTAAGATTATCAAATTCATAATTGTCAAATTACTGTGAAATGAGCTAAAATGGGATGAAATACTAAAAATGGTTTATTACCTCAACAGAGCTACTTCAAGAGTGGAAAAGAGGAGATAATGAAGTGTCCAGTTTGTTCTAAAGACATGACGAGAAGCGATTTTGTGAAGGTCCAAGACCAAAAACGACTTCCTAAAGTACTTCTTGTGCCATTTGTCATGCGTCATGACATCGATGAAGGATCCAATAATAGCAAAGAAACAAAACTTTTTGGTGACATTAGGCTTTTTAGACTAACGTCAAGAATCGACGCAAAGGTTATCTACGATACTGTCAATACTTTTGCTCCCAAGGATATACCCTACACGGTTCATTTTGTCAATGCTGAGGTTAGTTCTCAATTTCACTTTATTTTGAGAAATGTTTTCAATTTCAAAGGTAAAATAAAACTGGTTTTCTTTCATATTTCAGGGCAATCGATGCTCTAGATGCATGTTCTCGTCGCATTGCACCGGTTGTCAAGTGCCAGAAAGCGGCGAGGTTACCTTGTCATCTAGTGATACATTGGCTGTGCGCTATGTTGACCAATTACCACAAATTCCACCACCTATCGAGCACGAAAGTGTCAAAACTCTAAGACCAATTACAATTCTCTCACTGTATGATTGTTTGCAAGCATTTAGTCAGAGTGAAGTTTTGGATTCTAATAATCCTTGGTTCTGTCCCAAATGTGAAAGAAATCAGTGTGCTACAAAGACTATGACTGTTCACAGATATCCCAAGTTCCTTATAGTTTATCTTAAACGGTAAAATTTTTCATTCTAATATTAAGTCACGTTTCTCTAAAGTTTAATTTTAATAATATTTTGCATTTTATTTTAGATTCATATATCACGATCGAGTGAGTGTAAAATTGGAAGATAAAGTGACTTTTCCTCTGGTTGGTTTAAACTGTGGAAAACATCTTTATGATCTCTATGCTTGTGTTTGTCATTATGGAAGTGAGTCTCAAACATGTTGATGTTGAATTAACGAAATTCTCAAAGCATTAAAAACTAATCATATTGTTACAATGTAGGTATCTCTGCTGGACATTATACTGCCTATGCCAAGAATCCTGAAAAAGATATGTGGTATCATTACAATGACGACATATGCAGCAGAAAAAAGCCGCAAGAAGAAGATTTCAGTAAAGCATATATATTGTTTTACCGCCGTCAAGAATCGAATATCAAACAGTGCAATATAAGTGTTTGAAAAAAGAAATACTCATTTTGACTGGACCTATGAAAGAACATTAAAAAGTAACGAAAAGAATCCTTGGAGGAAAAAGTGTTTAACTCATGATATGTGTAAAAAGATTACAGGAATATCTTTCAAATTTGTTGGCTGTGTATATGTGTATGAGTGACTAGAACTATGTATTTACATTACAAGGGATATATCACTTTATTTTTTCACCTATGTGGTCTTCAATTAATTTAAATGTATAACACTTTTGTTTGAAACGCGAGGTGATGATTGTTGGAAATTTTCTTGTAAAGACTGGTCGATTATTTAGAACATTAATTAAATATTTACTGCGGTTATATTAACGAAAAAAACAAAACCGTCTTACGTTATGTGTCTATAATTATTTTTTATTACTTTATATATAAGTAGCATCATATGTGTAAAACTTCTGATTTAAGTAATAATTTGCAATCGTGCAAAATGTATAAAATGTAATTAAATGTACGCGTATTTTATCGAAAATGTTGCATCGCTTCATTTGTAGTGTTTCCTATGGAACTCCTCGCACTTTGTTCCTTTTTAAACGGTATTCTTATTTTCGTATTGCCATGGCTCATGATTTTAGCGAGCGAGTTTTAATCGTTTTTATCGATTCGATGAAGAAATACAAAAAACATTTCACATGATTATCATCTAGTGATCATCATTTTCGAGTACCAAAAACCTCTGAATTAATTTGAGGACATTGTAAAATACAATCTTGTTAAGTGAACGAATTTATTAAAAAATGAACCATAAACCTCGAAATATTAGTTCTTTTTACTACGCATTTCTATACCATCAACTATCTATAAAATCATATATATATTTAAAAAATTAAAAGAGATTTTTAATAATTAACGATTTGAGATACGATCACATGTACTTTTATTACAAGGAATGTTTTTAACAATCACACATTAAATATACATAATTATTGTGTTGTTACAAGCTAAAACGGTTCTTAGCGTGTCAGTCAGGTAAGTTCGATGAGTAAACAATTAATAAGTTGCGTTTTCTTTATAATTGATGCAGTTATCGTTTAGATACATTCTTTTCCGATTGTAGAAACTAAATGTAATTATAGGTGATTCGTGCCTTAGAACTTAAATCTTTTCAATGTATGATTTTCGTACAAGTTTGAGTTTTTTATTTACATGTACTTGAGCGATTCATGAAATAACGAAATACCATATTTTACGTGAATAATTTATACAAACTTATATATATCGATATCTATATTAGTGGCATGCACACGTGACTAGTTGAAAATCTTGAACTTTCTCAGATATAGTTGATAACATCTTGAATAAGATGATCAACCTTATCTTATACACAATTATTTCATCGTGGGTTTCCTAATGCGTCTTACGTTTTAATGCGTTTATGTATAAGTCTTTCCTTCATAAATATATATATGTATAATAACTATATATATATTTAATTTTGGTTTCGGCTTCAAGCTAATTTATTTACGATATACCAATTGTATGGCAAGTTTGTTTTATTATTTTTATCTATATTTTCAAACATTAACGGCTTTTTCAGCCTTGCAAAAAAACTTGGTAGATCTATTTGTTCTATATTTCTGCTTATTTAAAAAATTCGATTTCTTTCGAAATTCCTCTATTTTTATTCGTACCAGATGGAAAATCTCAAAAACTTAAAAATATGATCCATGAATCAATGCTTGAGACTTTCCAGGGTTTTCTGGATGGCTTTAAATTTTTAAAAACTGTTTTTACGTACATACGTAATCGATCGCATTATATTCATCCTGGATATGGATATTTAACATTAATAAAATAATTCTTTGCTTTTGTACACATTGCTAACGCTAGCTGGTTAATATTTTTTTTCATCGCTTCTTCAGATATTTCAACTGGTAGTACACTTGTCCAGTTGAGAGCTCATATATACTTTATGTTTTGGACAATCTTCGTTACATATCATTTTGATGCGACGGAACTTTACGAGACTCTCATGAGCTGTAAGCTCAAATTCTCGATTTTTTATCTTCAAGCTTAGCATAATGAGAGTATTGAGTATAAAATTAATTATTTTCTTATATAATTTTTTTTCAAAGATCCCATTCTACTCTGAATAGACGAACTCAGTCGTACAATTATTAATACTTATAATAATTATTCAGAACGCAATACCCTCGATTTGATACATTTTTTTGTTAAATTCACATTATATAATCAACAATCATTCTAATAAATATTTATTACGAGTAAATATAAATTTCTTCATTTTTATTTTTAAAGTTTTTCTTTGATAAATTTCAGTTGAATTTAAATTTTTCTCACGACAACCAATATTGAAAAATATACCCTATATCTTACATTATAATATTCATTTATCTGAAAGTCAAGACTCATAAGAAGTATTATGCAGAGACAGACGAAGGAATATACCGAGAAACTAAACGATACAATTTCTTTAGTCAAATAGGAAATGCTATATCGTCACATAACTTTTTTATAATATAATCTACAATTATAAATATATTATACTCGTAATAATGCTAAGTAGTTTTATCCCTAATTATTGTGTATGGCGTGTGAGTGTGTGGATACAGAACATGCGTGTCCGACGACGGGTTTTATGCACATTAATTAGTTGCGATACGAAAACAGCGATACAGTCATATTGGCCTCGCGACCACTTTACACAATACGTCCATTCAAGGTAATTGTTTCTTTTTTCTTTTGGTTATTGAGTATGGTACACGTTTCATTATAGTGATTAGGAAATATGTTGGCTTTTTTGGCGTTAAAATTTTTTGGAAAAATCAAATCACGATTTTTCGTCTAAAGTTGATCGATGTAGTCGACAGCTATGCGCGATTCCTCGCCACGAGAACCAAGTTCTTTTGGTTTGCAGACACAACTTCGTAAAAAATATTAGGTTTGTATTGTTACAGATAATTATTATCGAAAGTATTGCACTTCATGAAATTATACATGAAAATTCCTACGTTCAAAAAAAAAAAAAAAAAAATCAAGGAGTGACATTTGTTCCAATCATGTTGTTTTTTTTAAAGTCATTCGCATTTAGAAAATAAAATCTCTCGTCGATTCTTTTAAGATACGTGATGTCAAAATCAAAGTAAAAGTGCATTTCTCGCGGATTAACAAGCTTTATGGAGTGGGTGCCTAATGCGTCGGCAGCGTGAACCAAACGACGATGCTAGGATGTACCAGGCCGCCAATTTCACAGTTGACCGTGCGCGTTTCGCCGTTGAGCACGAAGAGAGCCTCGTTCGACGGACTGACCATGTATCGGCCGAAAACACCGCTCTGCACGATTGGCCTGTTCGGTTTGCCCCATTTGGCGTACATGACCGGCATGGCTTTGCCCACGCCCGTGATCATCTCCACTTTGCCTGTCGGATGAAAGAAAAAAGACAAATAAATCAATTTGTGCATTATTCGGTATAACAATCAAAAATAATTCTCAACGCAGCGTTCAACGTACCCGAGGCTAAATTAAGAAATAGTATATCCTCTTTATTGTCCATCGACGAAGCGTACAGATCGTAGCCGTGCGTAGTCTGCGACGGGTAGAAGGTGATGTCGCTGATGTTCAGCGTCGTTTTCACGTCGAACGCAAAGTTCAAACCAGTTGCTGCGTGTAAAAAATAAACGTAATGATTGTATAAAGATATGCTCTGCGATGAAAATTTTATACGGCTCGTGTACTCACGCAATATCTCCTCGACGATGAGAACGACGCTGTTGTCGCGTCGATCGATCGTCACGAGATGCCTCGAGTCCGGCGACACGGTCGGTCGACCCAGTAGCTCGGGTTTATGCCCCAGCACGGTATCGGTCACGTAGTCGAGTAACAGCTGACCCGTCGGTCGGCCCGTTATCGGCTCCTCGCATTGCAGTATCACAAAGCCATCTGAATTGATCATTCAAATTAGTTCTAATTTTTTTTTTACGAAGAATACATAGCAAAAATAGATCGTAGAGATGTGTGCTAGCGTTACGAAACGTCGCGTCGTTTTGCATTTATAAGACTGCTTGTGCAACTACATAGCGCGTTGCAAGCTTGATTATGTACCGAATCTATTTGCATGGATCCTCGCATGCGATACTGTATAACACTAACTGTTACCGGGATAAACGAGAGAAATCGCGCTAGTTTCTTAAGGGCCGTAGAAACACTATAGTTTATGTAAGGTGTGCTGCGCCAGTGCATCGTATACGTATTTGTGTACACGCTTACAACGGGTATAACAAAATTCAGCCAGCATGCGAGCAAGAGCCAAAGTTGTTTTACCCCCGCTTGCGCTGTTTAAACTTCTATGTATGTGTATGTGGTGTACGACGTTGACGATGCGAGTAACAGCCGCGCGTGAAACATCGTATACGAGAAGCCCGCAGCTAGTCACGTAGTTGACCCCATTGCTCGATTCCTTATTTTTTATTTATTTATTTTCATCGGCGCTTCTATTTTTTTAATGCGATATAAAACTGGATCCATTTGCCAATGAATCGACGACGATGGATAGTAATTTAATTTACATTTTTTCTCGGATCCTTTTTTTCATTTTTCCAAGAGGCATTTTTTCCTCGAAAGATATCGCGAACAAAAGGTAAGGTAAATTACGATTTTTCGGTCGTTCATATACTTACACAATGCTGGAAACTGTATGTGGACCGGAACGCAGTTGTAGGGCGCAAGATCAGCGCTGCGAGTGTATCTCATATTGGCCAGATCGAGCTTGTACATGCCCCGCTGGTTCGTGTGCGTCACGTATCCGTACTTGAAAGCGTGTCCGATATCCTGGTCGGAATACATGTACGTTACACATAGATGTCCTCTGTATTACAATGCATCGATCGATACGACGATTTTTCAAATATAATGGCGACGTGCGCGCACGAAAGAATCGGTCGTGGAATTTTTAGCATACGTCATACGTGCAACATTATATTCGAAAGGCGATGCATCGGAGTAAAAAATGAATCATGTCGCGTGACGACGATGCGTTACCTGCGGGTCGGGAATGTAGAGTCCGCGCACAAGATCGAACTGTCCGTCGATGGGCTCGGGATGCACGGTTCTGTGCTTCTTCTTCTGCGCCGCGTCCCTGATCACTTGTATTGTCTTGACGCCCATGTCGGTCTCGCTGCGCCAATTCAGCACCCAAACTTGATCCAAGTCCGGCACGTACTGCAACTCCACCGGGTATTTGTCCGTCGTGACGACCTGCGAGCACGCGTGCGCAAAACTCGTGATTATTTATTTTTCCACGATATATCAAGCGCGATCGTCGAGTACTTACGTCGACAACGACCATTTGAATTTTGCTAATAATGAGAATACGATCTTTTTCAGGCTGCGACACGTAGACGTAACGATTGGCTACGTTGATCGCTCGACCCCAAGAACAAGGCACTCCTTTTTCAGCACACACGTATTCCTGATTACGAGCAACAGCAGCAACAGCGACAAAAAAAAACATTCAACGTTATCGTGGAAAATTTTGCCAAAGTACCATCAGCGCGGGATTGAAAAAAAAAGAGAGCAAGAGAAGAAGAAAAAGAGACACCGTTTCGTTCGAGCAACTCACGGCAATGCAATTTGACTGTGCTGCTGGTAGAATTTTTGTCGCCGTCGTATAAACGATAGCATTCAATTAAGGGTATTAGAATAAACGTGACTCTCTCTCTTCCTTTCTTCCTTGCCTTGCGCGTATAGAGTTAGTTAACTTTTATCGCGCAAGTAGGATAATTTGCTCGGTCGATCGAATAGACTCGTAGAAAGCAAAAAAAAAAGAAAAAAACCAGCTAGTATAGCGAGCAAAAAAGCAGTACCTGCGTTCCAGGTATAATGTCAGTCGACTTAATTTGATGATACAATCGGCAAGCTGACGGCTCGTAAACCGATATGCCCCACTCGTGAAAGGCGAAAAAACGTCGCTCCTCGCTCGGGGCGGCTGTAACACACACAGAAAAAAAACCATCATTATATGCTTTGCGTGTAAATTGCATTCGTGTGAGTATTTTCGGAACGAACAGGGGGGGTTGACGAAATTGATCGCGCGGACATAAATAACGTTAAAAGTTAACTGGCCGTCGAAATTGGAAAGTGTGCTCTCGCATCGGAGGAGTAGTGGAATATCGAGGCGAAAAATCGTGCCCACGCGACATGTGCGAGCGCGCGCGCGCCTGCCAAGAAAAAGCACGCACACAGGGCAAGGGGCCAAATTCTCTCGCTCCAAGCTCGATTTTTCCTCCGTGAAAACGCTTCTTAATCTCCGTCGCCCTGTCTCGATTAGCGCGCCACCGGCTATATGGTACAGCAGCTCCGTGCACGCGCTGTCTCTGCACCGCTGTAACGTCGTGAATCACTTCGGAGGTAGTGCAGCGGTAGCTCTTAGTCTTCCGCATGGCGAGATTTTTCAACTTCCACGCGCAGCTCCGATCTTTCTTCACTTTTTTCTCTCCACTCCGTGATCCATTAGCGCGCGCATACGTTTAATCCAGCGCGTGTATATATATGAGCGTAATATATCTCGACACACACTTTGATGCGACGATAATATACTCACTGGGCGTCGGCTGCTCCTGGACCACGAGACTGCTGATGTCCCGAGTGACGCCGCCGACGCTGCTGGCCTGGCACATGTAGGCGCCCGTGTCGGCGTAGCCGATGCCGCGTATGACGAGGCGCGTGCCGTTGCCGACCACCTCGTACTTGCGGCCCTCGCTGCGCTGCTGCAGCGGCTCGTCGTTCTTCAGCCACTCGACTCGGGGCAGGGGCTCGCCCACCACGTGGCAGCGCATCGAGGCCTCCTCGCCCGGACGCTTCGACTGTAGACGCGGCGTGACTCGTACCTCGGGGATGGCTGTGCGTATATGAAAACACGAGGCAAAATATAAAATTATCAGAAAAACGGAAAGAAGAAAAATGTAAGGCGCTGCCACACTTACTGTGCACGGTGAGTACGTGGGTCTGCACGACGTCCTTGTTGCTGAGCGCGTGACACGAGTAGTTGCCGGCGTGCACGAGCTGGACCCGCGTCAGATAGAGACTGCCGTCGTTGAAAATTCGTATCTGCAAGAGAGTTTCGAGTCAAATAAGGGTTAACATGCAGGGATACATGCAGTTCGTACTGTGTCCACATAAAAAATCGAATAATCGATGTCATCATATACAGGGATACGTATTCACTACCATATCGTATTGCGTGTATATAAATCTCTCTCTCACCTCGGGCTCGGACAGGCTCTCGAGATCGGCGTTGTAGCGCCGCCAGACCAGCGGCGGCAGCGGTGTGCCCGTTACGTCGCATTTTATCTCGACGTTGTCGCCGACGCGCGCCGGTATGTGATTGATCTCCAGGTTCTTGTCCAGCGAGACCACCGAGACACCTGCTTGACACGCAGCGCCAACCAGATTTATGGCTTTTCCGACGATTATGGTGTATACGGTGGTATGCCCGCGTTACAGCATACATATAGATGCGAAAATCCGTGACGCTTGCGGGGCGAGCTTTTTTCACTTCTGCTCTCTTTGGCAGGATTATTTTTTCAGTTAAAAGCTGTTATGTTCGAAAAAAAAATCAATGGCTGATGGGGATCGAGGTGACAACACGGTTCCTTTTTCTGTTTTTTTTTTTCGTCGGTGTCACACTGACCGATGAAACGCCGCTGATTGCGGATAGCGATATACGCCACGGAAAGCTTGGGAAAAGCGAGCTTGATTTATAGGATTAAAAAGAAAAAGAAGAAGAAAAATCGCGGGTCGGCGTGCGTCACGAATTTTCGCGCGCGCGAGCGCTATATCGGAGTTAAAACTTACTGTATAGCTTGCTGAAAGCCATGTAGAACTCGTTGATGTTCAGTCGGCCGTCGCGATCCGCGTCGTCGTAGCTGATCATGTGGGCGAGCGAGCAGCCGCGACTGAGCTGCTCGAGGTCCTCGCGCTCGGCGACGCGCTCCAGCTCGTCGCGCTCCAGGTCGCCGTTGCTGTTCTGGTCGTAGTGCGAGAACATGATGCTCACCAGGTACTCCTTGCTGTGGTTGTCCTGCGCCATCAGTCTGGCGTGATTGTACAGCAGCAGATTGTCCTGTATGCGAGAAACATAATAAATCGACATCTTTTGTTCTCCTCGTATACGTATGCGGAAAAAAGCGTGTCGTATATTATACCTTCATGATCTCGTACTCTTGAGCCGAGCAGTCGTCCACGTCGTAGCCGTCTTCCACCAAGTTCTCTTTGCTGTCGTACTTGACTTGACTGTCTCGTTCCTCTTCACCTCCGCCGCTGCTGCTGATGGACGATGCCGCTGCCGACGCTGACGTCGCGCTCGACGCGGTCACTGCATTGTGCAGAGGTAGAGCTTTAGGAGTTTCTTGATGGTCGTCTACGACAAAGGAGAAATAGAGAGAGTGAAAAAAAAAATGAAAAATTTCAATTATAAAACAACTTTTACGCGATAGGTCGAGCGCTCGTCTAGGCAGGTGTTGATGGACGAGAGCCCATACCTTGACGCAATTAATACAGCTGTATATACATTAGCCGTGTACTCGCAGACGCTCTTACTCTATCTCTCTCTCTCTAGCTTTGAGCAGCGTCAAAAGCTCTGCACGTGCATTGCATTATATATAGAGAATCGGAGGGAGCTTTTAACCTTTGCACTTTGCGAGCTGGATATGCGACGCGGCGCAGCTGCCTCGGTTATTATAATGCCGCTATGTGCCGGAAGCGAGCTTTAATAATCGCTCCTATCGAATTAACCAAGCCCAAGAGAAGAAGAGAGCGAGAGAGTGAGAGAGAGACAGAGCGAGAGTGAGGCTCAAAATTGTATTAATTATTATACAAGTTCGCACTTTGAGAGGGAGAGATTGTGGACAATGAAAGGGCTTATATGTATGCCACTGCGAAATTTCAGTCTTTTACACACAAGAGTCAAATGCGTATGTGCGTGCTGCGTGTATTTAGGTAAATCGAGCATAATATGAACAATTTAAAGCCCATCTGCAGAGTCGCGGGCAATATAATCTGAGACAATGAAATATAGGATTCAAGATTAAAATGCGTGTTTGTATATAGAAATATTTCACGTACAAAAAGAATGAAAGGTAAAAAGAGCCGTGGGGTCACTGCGATATTTTTCTGATTTTCAAAGTGATAATTTAATGAAAAAAACCGTTGTCCCGTCAACTGAAAAGCTAATTATTCTAGAAATCAATTATGTAGATGAAAAACGCATTTTTCGGTACACTTGACTTATTTTTGCTCTAATAATTCAGATCTAATGATGTATTACACTGAAATATTTAGTAATCTTAGTTTTGTAATCTTAGATTTTTTTTTGGCTGATTCAGTTACAGCCAAATCAATAATGGTTTACGATATATTTTTTCCGGCTGCGGTTATAAAAATGAAACTCGTTTTTCACGTAAATATGGAAAGAAAATTTATTATCAAATTCATCGTTTATGCGATTCATCAAGATCTTTTAAATAATTACTACGTATTATTCGACTAATTCAGGAGTTTTATGTTATTTAATTTTGTCAGATAAAAAATTACAAGCGTTTTTTGTCACGTATTAAACTTCTTGTAAACGTTAAAATGTTCACTATTTACATTTTTTTACACAAAAAAGGATTTTTGGAATAAAATTTCGTAAAAATGACGAACAATTTTTAGATTAAAAAAAAATGTGTGGCTTTTTTAAATTTTTATAAAAGATTTGCATAAATTATAAACAATCAATTTTTAATAAATGAAATGTTTTTCACACTCACTCGTAAAACGAGTTTCATTTTTGTATTTAACGGGAAATATTATAACGAAAACGTTACTCGTTCGATGCCTGAATACCTCCTTAGCCTTACTACAGTAACCAACGGCGAAGTTATGTTAACTTTTTAATCTCATCTTAGGAAATAAAAAATTATAAATTATAAAAAATGTATCAAAAAACTTTTGGTAATTCATTGAATTTATGAAAAAATTTCAAAAAGAAAGTATCCTTCGAGCCGGATTTGAACCAGCGACCTATGGATTTCTATCTTTGAATCAACCTACTACAGTCCACCGCTCTACCAACTGAGCTATCGAAGGTGTGGTGATAGAGGAGGAATTATTTTGAGTCATATTCAACGGTCAAATCCCAAGAAAGGACTTTCACTTTCGATCGGTATAGTTCCATAATTACTAAGAAAAAATGAAAATAAGAACACTTTTCATGGCTATTGCATAATTGGTTACTGATCGATGAAGATTACACAACAAAATTTTCGGTAAAAAATTTCTTTCAAACGTTTCTTAAATCAGAATTCAAAAAGAAAATAAAGAACAGCTTAAAATTTATCTCATCGGCTTATATTTAGCCTCATCAACTTTTCTTTGCTCCAGAGCAGACCAGATAACGACTCTCTTACTTTTCTCTCTCTTTCTTCGATAACCCTCTGACAGCTATACTTACATTCAACGACGAAGAAGAGAAAAAGAAAAAAAAAGATGCAAAAAATTACCTCGATGCAGGCATCTCATCAGGCGACTGGCGGTCAGCGGCGCATCAAGATGGCAGGCGGCACGATGCAGCTCGCAGTGATTCGCGTAGACCTTGCCGTCGCTCGCGCACACGGGCCTGTGGCGGCGGGCGCAGCGCTTCGCACAGACGCATATCGCCAGAGTGCCGTCCTCCGATAGCTGACACTCGCGTCCAGCCCCGCAGTACTTGCCCTCGCATGGATCTTTTTTTTTGGAAAAAAAAGAAGAAAAGAATTGCTCGTGGTTAGAAAGAGAATGCAAACATTCATATTGTAATAGCAGTTCATTAATTAATCATTCGCAAGATGCAGAGTTTCAATTATCAAGTAAACGGAGAAAAATGCTGACCCGTTTCAAATTAAGTGCGCTCGTGCTCTCGAACGACTCGGCTCGTTTTGAAAAATAATGATCGATGTAAAATGTAATATCGTGGCCTCGGAAAAATAATGGCTTTTCAGGAATAAAGAACTATAAAAAAAATATTAAGGGCGCGTGGGAGGAAAATTGTTCACGGATGCGTGTTCTATAATAAGCGATTTCGAAATAGTCGTAGTAACGCGCTGTGCACGGAGAAAAATGAAAAAATTCACGCGCGCGAGCACGCAGAAAAAAAAGGGAATATTTTTCGCGCAACAAGTGGTTCGACGCTGCCAAGAAAAGAATAAAGGCTTCCGCCATGCTACACACGCCTTTTGCGGTGGTAAGCTCGTCTCTCTCTCTCTCTCGTTTGGTAATGACATTTTTACACAAAATCCGGGTTTCCTTGCGACATCATTATACATAACATGGTTAAATTCGAAGGCACGTACACGCTAATAATATCGAGTTCGATTTGCGCTTTTTTTTTCTTTTTTTTTTTTCAACTCCACTTGAAAAAGTCAAGTGTCTCGAGCTCGCTCGTGCGACAAAAATTTATTAAGTTCGATAAGTTCGAGAGAGCCGTATAGCATCGGCACAACTGTCGAAACACATATCAATGCGACATATCCGATTTAAAATTTCTTTCTGCGAGAAACTTTTAGAAAATACTGCTGCCTCTTTTCGCTTCTCGCTCTCTTTTTTTTTCTTTCTTTCTTCAACTTGAATTTCAATGCAACGCGATGCATTTCTTTGGTGGGTGTCTGCGTGTATATTGGCAAGCGTATACAGAGCGCAAAAAAAATTGATTGACAGTTTTTTCATCGAACAAATGGCAAGGAAATGGAAGAAGGTTTTATATTATATATATACAGAATGTATTATGTTGTATATTACGCGGCAAGAACCCGTGACTTCAATATCTATGCTAATCCTCGATACATAAGTTGGGATATTGAATTTATGGTGAATCTATATAGATGCAAGCGCGCAAAAAAAATCGTAAGCATTTTAGCACTCGTGGCCTACTTTCAAGAGAGACTCGTGAAAAAAGTTGGCCTTTTGATTTTAAATATCTTCGATTTATCATCGAAATTGTATCTGATAATTACAAGTGATATATTCATACTCAATGATATAAATCGAGCATATTAGCGCGAGCCATGTTCATTTAAATGAGCGCGAGGTGCCTCCAAGCATCTATATAGAATAATTTAAAATGTTCATTCCAGTGCGCGGGTATTATTATATACATATATGGATATATCTCGTGCGCCTATATATGATGTAAAAGGCGCCGGAAAATGAGGCAACATTTATCACCGGCTCGGGGATTATAGCACTGCCTGCGAAATAGCGCGCAGGCTGCAGCGACGGATTCGGCGGCAGCGGCAGTGTCCCGGCAATGCAATGACAAATTATAATTAATTACTGCGCGTTTGTTTAATTTAATTTTTCATTAAATTAAATTGCTCTCCGCTGCGCTCGCATACATACGGGTGGCATGCGTGGCTGCAGCAGCAGAGCTGCGGGGGAGAGGTACGTGGTGTATTCGGAAGCGTAAATTTGGAAAATCGAATCGATGAGAAGAAATGCCGCATACTCACTCGAATCGTAATTGGTGGAGTCATTAGAGTCCGGGGGCGCTGGCGAGACCGGCGACACGTTTTCGACGCTCGTTGGGTCCGATACTTCCGGTGTCGTGCTGACCTCGTGGCGGCGAACCGTCAGATAACGATGACGTTTTATATGCTGAAACAGAAAAGTTCGATCGTACGTTAGAATTTTCCGATGTATTTCATTTATGTTTGTTTTTTGTTATAACAGAAGTTCTTCAGTTGGGTGAAGAAAATTTAGAAAATTTTCCACCGTCGCTTTGCATCCAGTGGGCTAATTTTTTTTTCAACGATTCGCATACACAGGCACGTAACACGAAGCCACGCGGTATTTTACTCGAAGAATTACATAAAACGTTACTCCGTGTGTACTCGTTAATTTTACGCCCTCTTTGAAAATATAAAAAGGAATTTTTACAGAAGAATTTTTCATTCTTCCTTCCACGTACGTTAACTTCGCGATAACTCAAAAAAGCAAGGGAGAGTTCGAGCTCGAGTTAGAGGGATAAGTACCGCGATAAAAAAAAAATGTCCGAGTGGAAAAAATAGTGAATATTATTCGTTGTACGTTCTAAAAGACGTAAAAAAACAGCTCGCTAAAGTTGAAATTGTTGCGAATTCTTCTTCATAATTTCTCTGCCTTTGTACGGCTCTCTCATTAACAAAGAATTATTGTGTTGCTATAAAAAAGTAATCGTTTCTACAAAAAAATAAAAAAAAAATACAAAAAGCTTATTCGTGATCGAAGATTTAACATTGCAAGGAAGAAAAAAATTACGCGAATTGGCAAGTTTCTCTTGCTAGTTGTATCAAGCGCTTGAGTGGATTTTATTGAATTTTCGCCAGAGAAGCCTCTTTATATAAATTAAATTTTTCATGTACCTGTAAAAAAGGTTCAATTATTTCCTTAATTTTTTGAACACTTTTTCCTCTCCCAAACCGTTTGAGATTCAGCTCGTGGAATCTTGCATTTAATATGTATAAAAACGGAGCGTAGCAGCAAAAAAAAAGAAAAAAACGAAGGAACATAAAAAAAGGTCAGAGAGATAAATGAAAATAGCTGGAAATAATTTTTCGCCGTTGTACAAACACAAAATTCAGCCGGGGCAAGGTAAAAATTTGATATGTAGCACGATCCGACGACAACCGAGTTGCCTTTTTTTCTCATCCTCCTTTATCTGGAATACAATTATTTTCCAAAGTTTTCTTTTTATCATTCCGAAAACGACTTACTTACACGAGTCAGCTCATTGTCAAGCCGAGGTATGCTACACGCTCAAAAGAGGAGCAGTAGCGGTAGCAGCAGCAGTAGGGGAACAAAAAAGAGAGAGAGATAAAAAAATCACTTGTATAATATGTAGAAGGGAAAGAGGAGTTGTAGGGTACGCAAAAAGTTTTTCTCCACGCCGGTATAAGTTTTGCAGGAAGTTATATATACATCGTTGGAGGTAACTTTCTTTACAATGGCTCTAATAACGCCTAGAGGCGCTAATTATTATCAGAAAGTTTCGCCGAATATACCTATGGTAACCCCTCTAAATTTTTGTCCAGATTACAGCGATAACGCGTTGGATGCAAAGGACAGATTTCAAGTTTGTTTCTTATGTCGAGATTCTTTTTTCCACTCGTTGCTTCAATATTTTTTTCCTTCTTGCCTCTTCGCCAATATACGCGCGTTACTTCGATTCTATTAGTCGAGAGATTCATTTTTTTTATTTTTAGCCGAGGAAAAAATAAGCGCACTCGTCCGCGCACGCGAAGTGAATTTCCTGCCTCGCTCTCTGCTTCTCTCGATCAATTTGCTTCGCCCGCGAGAGCTCGAGGTGAGAATGTGAGCCAATGCGCTCTGCTGGCGTTATATAAGCGAGCGATGCAGGAAATAGCGCGAGAGCGAGCTGGAGAAAAGCCTCGGCGGGCGATTGGCCTGGTTTCTATATATGTTCCGCTCCTCGTGGTATATATATCGGAGCTTGCACGAGCTTTTTCGACCACCAAGCGCGCTGCCGCGCTGGTCAATTTTAATTCTCCCGCATACGCGGGGGTTCATATACTGTTTGGCCTTTTCATTTCCGGGCTTTGTGCGGCGCCGACGAGCGACGCACGGGACCAGACTATACTTCGCTAATGCAAGCTCGCGAGGACAATTATATTCGCGGGCACGTATTGCGGCCACTGATAAAAGCGTCGGTGGATTTTATATTCTAACATATATAAACCCGATGAAAACGAATAATTTCGTGCATCATCTTCGGGTCGCTTCGATTCCATGCAGCTCCAAAAGCAGCTGCTTTGCTTAAAATCACAGTTTAGAAAGCGCAATAAAAAATGGGCCACGCCGCGCGTAAAAGAAACCAGCGCCGCCTTCTTCTTCTTCTTCTCCTTCTATAATTTTTTTTCTGTTGCTTTACCTTCAACGTTTATATAGCCCTGGGGGAGAAAACTGGAAAAAGATCGAAGTTCCCTCGAGGGCCGAGCGATAAGTATTATAAGCCGCGCGCAGCTTTTGCAGCTTGCGCTCACGTGTCTGTGTGTATGAGTGGGTGTGTATATATGTACATGTGTATGTGTGTGTGTGTGTGTGTGCAGGGACCGATAATCATGTCTCATGGCGCATGACCTCCTCCGCTCTGGGCGCTTATAGAGCTGCTGCTGCTACTACTGGCTCGCTGCTCGGGCTCTCCAATTCTTGACTGCAAAATTACAAGTGCACAGCCCAGTAGTCCTTTTCTTCCTCGCTCTTCACCTCCTCTTCCACATCCTCCTCCGTGTATAATGCGAGCCTCAGCTGCGCCAGCATGTGATATATAATTCGCGTTCGCACGCGCGTGCATGCGAGCGTGTATCTAGGTCGTACGTGATATACCATGTCAAGCTAATCAACTTGCCGTTTTTTTCTTTCTTCTTCTCCTCCTCCCTTTTTTTCTTTTTTTTTTTAATACTTTCAGAAAAAAAGTGCAGCAGCGTTGGTGGTGGTGGTGGTGGTAAGCCTTTTTTTCTGTTCACATCCAACCGTGCGGCGCGGGAAAATAAAGTTAGCTTACAGTCAAAAATACGTGACTTTGCGCTTGCGGCAGCTACTATGCGCGCGTGGAAGCTCATGATACGACCGCACTGCTGCATCGCCACCACCGCCACCCAATGCGTGTTAGCTAGTATACGCCTTGTTTTCGTACGCGCGTTGACTCTTCTCCTTTTTTGCTTCTTTTATACTATTTCGTTCTCACGTGTGCGCCATATGAACGCAAATATACGCGCGTACGGATGGAAAGCAATGCGCGAGGCGCGTATGCACACAACGGCATTTTTGTTTTTCAGTGAGATTTCTGAGCGTTAGATTTTTAAATACAATCGAACACGTTTATATCGCAGTTGTCAAAAAACGAGAGACAACGGAATCGTGTTTATTGTTTGTATTTACCCTTCGGGAAACCTCGTACGACTTTGTTTTTATTTTTATTACATATATTCGAACGTTGAAATAATACACGATGTTGCCGCGTGTGTTTACATATTATTCGAGCTCGTAATACAATGTTGTCTTTTCGTTTCATTCGACGACGGTAATAATCTCGGTTTTTATCCACTGTCGCTGCATGCTGATTCGATACTCGCGTTCAATTGCAAAAAATACTGTATATTTTCTGCGTTCGTCGGTTTCAACTCGTCAACTTCTTTGTCGTTCAATTCCTCGTTCGACCAAAGTGCGCATCAATTTATTACGAACAGTCGGAGTGAAACATCCTCCCGCGGGGTATAAATGCGGAGGAATTAGTTTAAAAGTAGAAAACGTGCGCGCGCCCAGCTGACACGAACTGCATCTGCAGCTCTGCGGTATCTCTATGTATCATCCCGGAGAATCGCATTATTCTCCGGGCGCACATATCGAGTTAGCGCTCGTGGCCGATGTAAAAAGAGACTCGTCTCTTCTGTATATCGTATTACAGCGGCGGCAAGAGTGCACCGCGAGATAAAGTGAAGGAACAATCGTCACTTTCATCGGGATAAAGACCTTTCCGGAAAAATTCTTTATCTGCTTTAGGATCGAGAGCTATACAGCTATATATATATATCCGGCTATTTTATTATCTATACCACCGCATTCGTGTATATATAGAGGACAACTAGTTCCGCGTGCCGAGCTCGAGAAAAACAATTTACTTTGGAAAATGATCGAAGCAAAGAGAGACCAGAAGTGTGTAGCGGAGAAGAGACAACTAGCCTCGTCAGCTTCGCTTAAAGAGAGCCGGCTGTCGAGAACAAAAGCACCGGCGTGTCTCTCTTTCTCTCTCGGTTTTCTTTTTTCCTCTCCGAGAGCTTGTGCAGCGACTGCACCGATGGTCATCGACGGGGCGTACTCACATATAGACGCGCGCACACACACGGACACACACGCTCGTGCGAGGTGCAGTGTCCTACATTTTATACGCCAGGCACTCTCTTCCTCTACAGTGAGATATATGTAGCCGAGTCTTCTTCTCACTGATGTAAGTATACTATTACTTTTATTGCTTTTCCTGGGATACGGTATAAAGGGATTTTATATATTGTTGGCATTTTTATTCGTACGTTTACATCGCGAGCTCTCGAGCGTACGTGAAATCCGTGGAAGAGATTTTCACGTGAAAAAAATACTGAATGATGCGTCGTGGGGTTGGACATTGGCTTGGGGGAATGCGCGTGATACGTCGACCACGACGCGCAGAAAAGGGAAGTGGATTTATCATACGACCTTGGCGTGATTAAAAATGAAAAAAAAAAAATAAGTAAACTCTCGCGGCGTACGAGACAATATTTAATAAACCCATCACGAATGCAAAGAAGATACGCAGCTTGCGTCGGCGGCAGTGTCAGCGGCTGCCTCGCGCTGTATATCGACGCGACTGCTGGCAGCTGTGTGCTTGTGAGGCTAATACCGTCCCTCGTATTCGAATATTTTATAAAACGTCATCTTGCTTGTAATAATTGCGCGCGGAGCTACCGTTGCTCTCGTCGTTTCACTTTTTTCTTTCTTTATTTTTTCTTGATATTTTTGTTTTTTACAGCGACACACCGGGCGCTCCCCCGTGGCTGTTGTTTGCTCTCTGCAAGTATACAGCGCTGTGCCGTGGTTAGACCGTTCAATTACCTACGTCGCCCGCGTTTTTCATTTTTTAAATATCTCACTCGAATTAAATTCATCTCTGTCTGGGTATTACATGTCATCCACTTCTTCTTCTTCTTCTTCTTTTTTTACCTTTCGTTAATTCCCTCTTTGTATTCGCCCGGTTACTTTGGCAACGAAAGTGATGAACTTTTTCCGCGACAGAGCTCGAAAAGGGACTATTTTTTTCCGTTCTTTTTTCTTTTTCTTTTTTTTTCACTGAAATGACATGACCGATCGACTGCGAGTTGTGCAGCTAGTATACGCCATAAGAAGGCAGACTTTCTCTCTCTCTCTCTCTCTCTTTCTCTTTCTCTCATGCTTACTAGACTGATCTTCGAGACGAGTTGGTAATCCAATTTAACCATGGTTCTGTATTATCGTGTGTGTGCGCAAGCATGAAAAAACATCGGTGCTGTGTGTGTGTGTGTGCGCGCGAGCGCGCGTGTATTGCTTTTTCCCTCCTTTTTTTTTTTCTTTTCGATTTCCCAAGCTAGCATAAGCTTTGGACCGTCTTGGCAAGATTTAGCTCCCATCCCCCGTGAGGGAAAATGGATGAATTGGGAAATGCGCGTCGTTGTATACGCATTATGTATTTTCTATATACGCGTTCTTTTGCGGAATTCGATTCTTTGAAATTTAATTCCAGAGATGTACGAGAAAAACAAGCGAAACGAAATTGTTTATTATCGACAACGAATAAATGTGAATAAATGTGCAATTTTCTCAAAATCTGACGGATATTAATATACCACCGCGCAATATTATCACTGCATTTGTTTACAAGCTCTTTCGCAAATGAAAAAAATTGTTTATCTTTAAAAATATTCATTTCCCACGTAAATAAATGATACATTTTTTTCTCTCGAGTTAATAATTTTTTATAAAATTGCTGCTCTTACAAGCGGCGCGCAATCCTAATGGCTATAACGCGGTACATATAGCTCGTTAATGCGAAGCGAGATAAATCCTGGAAACTGCATCAAAGACACAGCATTGATGAAACCCGCGCGTACGCGAGCTCGTTTTTCTGTTGCGCTCCCGGGCGACGCTTTCATCTTTTTTCTTCTATTCATTTTAATTTTTTCAACGCCATGTTCTCTGCTCCGGGCACAAAGCGTATATATCTTCGAGCATGAAAAAATTGTCACGAATCAATTCGCTGTTATTCATACAGCGATAATAAAATTGCCACCCAATTATTTTAATATCCATCGAGTTGACAAAGAACAAACGCCTGCATCATCTTGGTCGAAGTGCGCATGATGTCATATCAGTTTTCAAGGATCAGGACAATCCATATACGATACCGAGCGTGGCGCGTGTGCAACAACTGCTCCTTTCTTATATCGTATACTCTTCGGGCGTACTCCGGGCCGCACATTTTTATATCGAAATAAACTCTCGGTCGAAGGCAGCGAATAGCCCCACTGTATATAGCTCTTCAGAATCGATATCAAGACAGTCGCCGAAGAATTTTCGTCGATATTTTTTTTTTTTTTTTTGCTAGCATGCAGCCCAAGTAGTAAGAGCAGCAACTCAAGTGTACGCGCGCACGCGCGAGCGGGTGGGCGACGCGATTAAAAAAAAGGCCTCGTTTTTCCGAGTCGAAACACGGCACTTTTATATTGCTTTCGAATATTTCACGCCAGAATTTTTCTCTTGCCCTCTGCCCTGTTGCCGCTGCTGCTGCTATACTGAAAAATGCTCTCTCTTTCTCTCTTCTTCTTTCTTCTATATCCCCCGTGCTTCAGGGCTAGTCATCCTTTTCTTTCTCTCTTTCTTTTTTTAAAGTACGTTCGTTTACCACGATTCTTATCGAATGATATTTCCAATATTGTCGTCGAATCGCCCGAGCTGGGCAGTACGGGCAATAGCTTAAAGTTGCATGCGCGCCGCGTTGTTGGCTATTTATAACGTTTATTATCCTATTAAAGGCAGAGATATGAGTCGTCGTAGTTTTCAGAATCGATCACGTTTGACCGGGCGGTTATATTGCGGCGCAGACGAGTCCATTTCTAGCGAGCAAACGTCAAAGCCTCGTGCTCTTCGTTTCCAATGTCCGAGAGTTGTTGTTTTGAATATAGAATTAAATGGTCGTGTATACATAAAGATGGAGTAATTCAACGCAAGTGTACAAGCGCCGCTGTATATATCATTCACATACATAAATGCGTGCGCTCCGGAACACACTCCACTTAACCGCTTTTGAACGAACGGATCGAGGGACCTTGAAATGCCCATGTGGTTACCATATTTTACGCAGTGCTCTCAAAACGACGATTTTTTCTTTTTCCCTCTCTTTCTTCCTAGCGAACGTCGCGCAGTTTGGTTTCTTTCAATTCAGTATAGCGTATTTGTCATCTCTCGTTTCTCCACGAGCGTTGCGCGCTCGAGTTCCGGAAAAATTTGCGCAGTCTTTTCCGCGCGATAAGACACGCATTGCACGCATACAAAATTCCACGCGAAAGATCAATGAGCAAATGTGCAATACGAAAAAGTCGCGTGTTTCATTGACTCGGTCGAGGATACGCTCAATGGTAAAGCACATACACGGCAAGTGCTATATGGATAGCTCGTGGATCACACAATGGAAGATATGTTTTTCCTCGCTTTTTTCGTGGCGCGCAGTGTATACGTTCTTATTGGTACGATATACGTTAGCACGATGATGACCTATACTATGAAATCGCGGAGGCTGAGGATCTACGCTACCACGGCTGCTCAAGAGAGCGAACGCGGAGCGCGCGGCACGCCAAGCGTAATGGTTCAAAGTCAGCTTTTATACTATATGGGTCATTTGAGTGCTGTGAAATGATCATCGATGAATCATTTACTGATAAAGATTTATGTAACATTTGCTTGGCTGTTGCAGGCCCAAGTCACAAGGGCAATAAAAAAAAGGTAAAAACAAATGTAATGTCTGCTTTTAAGCTCCAAAACAGCCATATAAGGTTATGCATGTTCATTAGCTTCTTTTTTATTCCTTTTGAAAAATTAATAAAAACAACAAATTCTCATCAACTTAAGTGTTCGTTATATTGTTGTCCTTTCATTCTTGGAATTTAAAAAAGTTAATAGTCTTGTATTTTCAGGCCAAGTAAAGAAGAATAAAATTCGTACAGTGCCTCTTGTATCAGATCAACGGCCAACGCAAATACGTTTTTGTTAAATTTCATAATTTTTTTAAACCCACTGCAGTGCTTAAATCATAGGCCTTGTTCTGAGTATTTTATTATCAGAACACTTTTTAGAAGTTTTTAAGTATCCTAATGATGAAATTCATGTAAGCATAAGACTGATGCGAGAAAAAGCTCGAAAAATAATACAAATTTCGAATGCCGTAATAACTTTGAATTTTGTAACTCCGTTGTTTCGAGTCTTTCGGAAAAAGCCTTGAATTTGTTTTTATTTTAATTGCATTATGAAAACTTTCAATTTAATTTATACAACTCTGAAAAAACTCTAAAAAATATTGCGTTCTAAAGTTTCTCAATGAGTCCTCTTTCACATTGCCAAAAAACATCTTTTTTTTAACAATTTTTCAAAAATGATCCACGCACAATTTTTTTCAAAAAGCTAGGAGAATGACCCATATGTACGAGAAAGCTTCTTCTTATTCCTCTTTTTTTCTCTCTTCTTTTTTCTCCTCCCTTTCGCGCTCCACGTCTATAAATATAGATATGTTTATATGCGCGTGTGTATATGCTCGTGTGTATACATGGACTAGCAACAGACGTTGTATCCTGCGTGCCGACGACACACACACACACACACACACACACACACACACACACACACACACACACACACACACACTCAGATACACAAACGCTACACATTGTGTATAATAGCTCGCGCTCTGTTATAGCCGTCAGTCGATGAGTCTCTCTTCTAGCGCGTGCAACGCCTGTGTGTGTTTAGCTCGACATCATCATATTATATAGTGGCCTGTATACACTGCAGCCCGTATAGACTGCTACCCTATATATCTCGAGGCATCTTCAGTGCGATAATATTTATTTTTTTATTTTTTTTCTTCTTTCTTGCTTGCTTGCTTGCTTGTGCTCGAGGATCGATCGTGATAATTTTATTCGGTTTTCATTAAAGCCTCGTTAACGGGCGTGGAGTGCTCTGTGCTGTTCTCTCGTTGGAAGCGCGTTGATTGTTTTTCAATAAATAAACTGCAACCGATCGCGTTTGTTCGTCTGCCACGTTGAAAAAAAACACTCGAGTTATTCCAAGAGTTCTCGTTGGCAAAGTTCATCGATACTTTCCGCAGTCTTATTTTTGATCGGAAATTTTCAAATAATTTACTCCAAGTATGAAGGGTACATATATGTTAAAACTAAATACTTCTAAAAGTTCGATATAGATCATCTGCCTGTATTCGATCGACTAGCTGTAATATTCAAATCTCAAAACAGCCACTCCGCCCGTAACTTTCATTTTCCTTTGTCTAATTCTTCCGTGCGCGGCTTCGTCATCGTATACATACATTCATGCGCAATCAATCATAAAGAATTCAACATTTTGCCTACTACTTCCACAGAACGCAACGTACAATGATGCTGATCCAAGCCTCGATCGTTCTCGCGTGCGCTCTGCTGGCCCGGTCGAGTCCCACGACCACCGAGGCCGCATCGTCGTCGTCGTCCCCGGCGCCCAGCACCGAGATAAATCTCTGCCCCTGTGGAGGAGGTTACGGCAACAGTAGCAGCAGCAGCAGCAGCAGTTCGGCCGCCACGACCCCCGCGACCCCCGTGATCCACGGCATGACCTGCATGTGCCACTCGAGTCCGGCGCACGCCAGCCACATGCGCGACGACTACAAGTACAGTCCGGGCGTCGGGGCGCACAAGCTGCACACGAGGGCCGCCACCTGGAACGAGGCGCGCAAACTCTGCAACGAGGAGGGCGGCCATCTGGCCATCATCAACTCGCTCGTCGAGGCTCACGTGAGTTCGCATGCTTCATACATATAAATAACAGAGAAAATCCTACGAGCACGAGTACGAATTTAATAATGTCTCTGTCCCGCTACACGTATGTATATATAGGTGATGCGCGACATATTTCAAAATTCCGGCCCCGTGAAGGGTGCCTCGTACGCCGACTTGGCCTACGTCGGTATTCACGATCTTTACAAGGAGGGAGAATGGGTCAGCGTACTCGGCGAGTCGCTCTACAAGACCGGCTACACAGCCTGGTCGGACAAATGGGGCGGACAGCCCGACAATGGAGGTGGCAATCAGAATTGCGGCGCATTCATGAAGGACAGCGGCGGCCTGGACGACGTGAATTGCGACGTGTCTTTCGCATTCTTCTGCGAAATACCCATGACTTACATTATTCACTGATTCTTCGAGTTCCCCGACGTATATACTAGCAGTAGTAGTGGTAGTATAGCGACAAAGTACTTTCTGTGCCATTCTCTTCTTACTTTTTTGTACTTTTATTTTTACTAAAATCATCTATACCAAATAATATGTAATATTGTAAATGTGTAACTATATAATCACTTGTAGTACGTTTGACTGAACTTTATAATTTTTATACATTTTTTTCTATGGAAAATAAAATTTCGTAAAAATGCGAATCAAGCGAGAGATCGTACAACTTATTTCATTCGAATTAATTTTAATTAGTGCGACATTGCGATCGCTGTAAATCGCGAGTGTGTGTGCCGAGAGAGTTCTATAAATGCAATCTACTCGGCTGCATTCTCGATATATCTATTGCTTATACGTTCGCGAAGAAACAAGACGCAAGAAGATGAAGATGAAAAATGAGAAATTATCTCACGCGCGCGCAGGAAAACCGGTATTCGCGCGCGGAAGATGCTCGAGCGCACACAAGGAACGAATGCCTGCCTGCCTGCCTGCTGCGAGGTGCGCGTATATATAGTATCGCCTGCAAGCCTCGGAGATTCACGACACACGCGCTCCCGAGGTTTGTGTCATGCACTCCTCTTTTCGAGGATAATAATTTTTCTCGCGTGCATATCGCATAGTTTCGCCTTTAAATTCTCAGTCAGAATTTTACATTCGATACGCGTGTACGACTGTTGAGCCACGCGAAGTACAAAAAAAAGGTCTCGATCATGACGATTCGCCGCTGCTGCTGGCATTGATCGAACAGGTAAGCGATTTTACCATAATTATGATCGATAGTTTGTACAGAAGTATGTTGCACGGGCAAAAACCGCGAGGTTAATGTAGTTCGTACGCGGCGATCAAGTTCATATTCGCGAGGTTATCGTGCAGTTCTCGACTTATCCATACAAGATATATGCAATGCACGACGCGTATTTTCCTCGTCGCGGCAATTACAAGCGCGTTCGTCGTTTCACGATGTTCGCGTGATAGAAGTAATTGATACACGGCTAACTTCGATTGCCTTGTTACGCCGATGCGAAGATGCGAAGCGCCGAAATGGCCGCGTTGTTGTTATAATACTATTATACAGCCACGCGAAAAGCGAACGATTATTGTAGAGGCGTTAAAAGCTTGAGAATCAACTTTGAGCATATTATGATTAAACTTTGTTTGCTCGAAGAGAGATTTACATGCTTGTGGCTCGTACGCGTGCATGTGTGTGCAGTCTAGCGTACATTCGCATGTGTGCTAAGGCAGAATTCTGCAGTACCAACTACTTATACCTAGTTGCTAAAATATGTATGCAAGTAATCTTTGTAAGTATACCATAGAGGCGGGCTTTGCATACAGATTGTGCAACCCCAAAGCTTATTAGTCGAGCTCTAATTATTTTACAGATAGGCTTATAAGTTTTTGATCATAGAGAAAAAAATTCAAAATGGGAATATCGGATATTCGATCGATAGATAATGATTTTTCACGCACTCCAAAAAAAAAACAGGTCGACCCGTATCTCATCGCTCCTAATTCGCGCTACTTTACCGCACTCGAGCCAGCGAAAAAATGCGATCCAAATCGACGATCTCTAGCCTCGTATCGGCGCTGCTGCTACTTCTGGCATTGGAAAATCATTTCGCGGCGGCGGCCGCCTCTCAGGACGGACAATTGGTATTCAATATGTGCACGAAAAACGAGTCGATCTCGGTACAGCTGACGAGCAGGCAGGACGGCAGCGGCGGAGTGAGCTGCCAGTGCCAAACGTCACCCGCGGCCGATCTCTACAAGGACGACTACGTGTATACGCCGGGAATCGGGTCGCATCGCTTTCACACCGAGGCGAAGCAGTGGAACGAGGCGCGGCGCATCTGCTACGAGGAGGGCGCTCATCTGGCCATCATCAATTCCAAGGCCGAGGAGGCTGTAAGTGACTACACGTTCAATCGCTCGACATATTATAAGTATATCTATTTCTTTTTTATAACTTAATCCCATAGAAACTATTGGACATGATGCGGAGATCGGAGGGCGCGATCAGAGGCGGCCTGAACAAGGACGAGGCGCTGCTCGGCATTCACGACCTGTACAAGGAGGCCGACTGGGTGACAATATTCGGCGAGCCGCTCGCCGCGACCGGCTACGCGAGCTGGTCGGCCACCTACTGGGGCGGACAGCCCGACAATCTCGAGAATCGCCAGCACTGCGGCGCGCTCATCAATCAGGGCGGCATGGACGACGTCGACTGTCGCGACAGATTCGCCTTCTTCTGTGAGCTGCCGCTCACTTGCTAATTGCTCGCTCGCGAGGGCTCAAAATGCTTTATTATTACATGTATTATGATTCATTCAGCTCACTTTTTATCCGCACAACTGTCATTTTTATATAAGTTTAATATACGATATTATATTTTTGAACGTAATTCTGACTGATCGTGACTGCACGTAGTCGAAAAACTCAACCGCTTTTGCATTTTTTAATTTCATTGAAAGTAGTTATTCATTTGTCGCAGTACAAAAAATGAATCCTGATTTTTTAAATTGTAAAAATAAAAAGTAAATAAAACTTATATTTTTCTCTAATCATTTTATTAACAAGGAAACAAGCTAAATACCGATATTTCTCGCTAAAAACCCAGAGTAGCGAGAAATATTATTTTTGTTTAAAACATGCAGGAAAACAAGTTCTCATCTTCATTGATAGTAATAATAACAATCGCAACTACTAGTATCGATGTCATAATGAATGATCTAATCATCGGTCGCCCAATGCAATTTACTCAGTTTTAGCTTCGCTCTCCGATAGAAAAGATCGCACCGAGAATCCGTATTCACGATGTTTCATCCAAGGTAAGGCAAAAATTTCAATTTCTAATGGTGATTGGTGAAAATAATAAAGCACTCACACTTACGTATTTTCGTTCCCACTACGCAGACAACATTGCAATCGTCCTCTATTTCTAAACTTCTTTCTGCTGATGATAATTGCGTCACCGGGCGCGCGCTCGACCTTCACCGACACGGCGATAGATCGCGTTACCGTGTGCTCGGGCAACAATCGCACGCTCGTCGTGGATCTCAACACGACGCGGCTGACCGACGCGGAGAACGCGATCGACACCACCGATTGCCAGTGCGTCTGCAAGAGCGTCGATCAGAAAAATAACGGCAGCAGTACGGCGATACGAGAGGACTACGTTCACACGCCCGGCATCGGCACGTACAAGCTTCACACGAACGGAAAGCAGTGGAACGACGCTCGCAAGATATGCACCCTCGAGGGTGCCCATTTGGCCATAATCAATTCGCAAGCCGAGGAGAGCGTAAGTTTTTTTTTATTCACTTATAATTGTTATAAAATTGACGATTTTCCGTGTAAACAGTTGCTTATGGAAATGCTGTGGAACGCGGCGTCCACCATCAAGAACGTCGTGAACGTCGAGGAGGCCTTCATCGGCATTCACGACCTCTTCCAGCAGGGCGAGTGGGTCACGGTATTCGGCGAGTCGCTCTACGCGACCGGCTACTCCGCCTGGTCCGCGACCTACTGGAACGGACAGCCGGACAATTTCGGCGGCAGTCAGCACTGCGGCGCCGTTCTGCGCCAAGGCGGCATGGACGACGTGCACTGCCTGCACAAGTTCGCCTTCTTCTGCGAGCTTCCACCGAAGCCGAGCAGAGTCTGCTAGAGTCTCGTCGTTAATTTTAAAGTTTTTTGCTCGTATATCACGCAATAAATACGTCGATTATAATGTTTTGATTTTATTAGAGATTTTTCGTTCTCTCTCTGCTTCTCTAATTCGAAGATCACCAAGAGTCGTTAGATAGACGTTGACGCGCCACGAATTTTAAACGTAAATTCAGCGCAATCTATTTCACGAATTTCTCACATTTCAACGCGATATTTGAACCCTTTGAAAAATCTCTCCCTCCCCCTCCCCCCCCCCNCACTCCCCCCCCCCCCCCCCCCCCCCCTTACGATATGTATAATAGGAATATACGGCGTAGACGACGGTGCAGTCACGGAACATAATTTTCGTAGCTGTGCGCGCGACATTTCTCTCTCCCCGAATCTCGGCTGCACAAGCGCGCGCGTAGTACATCGGATAGAGTTGCAACGGGCGCGCGCCGATGCAAATTCCGGCCTCGCTGCAACTACGTGTACTTTATGTACGTATATATATATATACCCGCGCATCCCCATCTCAAGGGAAAAAGTCACTATATAAGCACGAATTCGAATGCGCATCAAAGTGGATGCATCGTACGTTCTGCAGCAGCGGCAGCTGTTCTCTCGCTATTATGTCAATGTCATTCGTTATATTTATCTGCCGGTATCAAGCCGAATACTTCGCTACGTAGTGCGACGTTAAGCTCCTTGCTTTTCTACGTATCTGACGTCGCATGCACGTTGGAGGTCGGAAACCGGCGGGGGATATATATATGCACTCGAGCGGGTGTTTGCATGCAAAATTGGAATGTTTATTCTAGCGTATCACTGTGACGATGACGACGACGGCAACGATTTCGGCAAAAATGTATGTCGCGTGATTCTTTCATTCTCTTTCTCTCTTCGCCTCATTCTCTTTTCTCGAGTATCTATATCTAAATATTTTTTTCACCCCAGTGTGTCACATGAGGTTGGATATAGGTCGAGTGTGCGCTTCGTCGAAACCACATGATTTTTCTTCTTCCAGGAATAGAAAAGAAAGGTTTATTTCACGCCAGTAAGCGATACAGCTTTCGGATTTATATGTGGGTCATTCTGAGCTCTTAAACAAAAACACCCACCATTCAACTTTTAAAAATGTTGAAAAAAATATGTTATTCAACAACATAAAAGTAGATTATTTATAACATTTTAGATCCCAAAGAAACACGAAAAATTGATTGTGCTTTTATATGAATAAACGATAACCTTTCATCAGCCATCAATATTTTGTAACACATATCTATCTAAAAATTTGTTATCTCTGAAGACCACTCAATTCCTTTAAAAAATTTGACTTGCGCTTTAAAAAAAATATTACAATCGCGGTAAAGAATACGCGAAGAATGGAGTCACGCGAGTAATGATAATAACGAAGATGGCTGAAATAATATTGACAAAGGGAAAAATGCATGGGCGACGTCAAAAGTGTACATAGTCGGCTTATATACAGAGAGACGCGCGGCACTGTGTGCGTGTACGTGTGTCGTCGTCCTCCTCCTCGTCGTCGTTGTCGTCGTCGACAGTCGTTGGAAGAAGAATAAAAAAATGAAGAGGAGGTGTCTCGCGCTTTATAAGCTCGAGTGATTTACCGCAAGCAAGATTGGCCCAACGGAAAGTAAAATTGAAATTATGAATATTTAAAAAGTTCATTGTTCTCTGGACTAGCGCGCGTTGCTCTCTGCCTTCGCGTGCGAGCTCGAGCTGCACGCAGCAAAAATACGACAGTTTTCGAAAGACTTTTTACCTGCTTTTTTTCGTCCGCGTGTAGAAACTTTGAAATGAATTGGGAGAAAACAGTAAATTTCATGGCAGATTATGAGGATTACGTGGAAAAATTTATCGTTTTTATTATTCTGGGGGAAATATCAATAATGCGCGCACGGAGGCGACAATTTAATTTTCAATTTGTAGATTCCGAGAGCTCGACTCTGTATGTTTCATTAAGAGTTCGCGCAGTCACATTTCACAATGGAGTCATTAATATAATAATACAATATATAAAAATTATACGTCGAACGTCGTTACGCGCTAGCGTAACCATACGTGGCGCACCAAACGAATATCGAGATCCAATTTAAATTTGGAGCATTTTTCACTTATTTGCAAAGGCTGTACAGCACACGGCTCTCAACTTTTACTCCGCGTAACGCGCGCAGTCGAACGAGAATGCATAATGCATTTTATCACGTGTATATTTTACACATATACCTATGTACACATACGCGCGCGGAGCACGTGGATGCGCATACGTCGAGCTCGTTAAATGAGATAATAAAGAAAAAAAAAAATAATCGAGCGTCATTTAATATGCAGGTAGCATACATTATTCCGGTACAACGAAATGTAATATGTATTAATAAATAAAGCAAAATCGATCAACGCCAGACGACGTGATTGATTAATTACACATGCGCAAGCTCGACGCAGGCTCTAGAGCTAGCTCCAGCTATACGGAGCTCGCACGTGACCACGTCGATTCTCATTATAATGATACGCGCGGGGCTAAAGCAAACGCAAATTTTGCATTTAAATGTCCAGGCCAGACGAGAGGAAGCTGGAGCAGGATCGCCACCACCGCCACAGAATAGTCGAGCTGGCTCTACGTGTAGGACAGGGGTAATTGTTGGTGTGTTCGCAGGGGCGCGCGACAGCGATTATCATTCGTTGAAAGGCCTTTTCCAGCAGCGAACCCGGGGCATCTTTCGAGGAAATTTTGTTAGTATAATATCAGCGCCCATCGATTTTACGCAGATATATAAACATGGCGAGTCTCCGGCATCAGCAGAAGTAGTGCGGCAGTATAGGGCTCGAGCGAGCTTGCACGAGCTTGCGCGCCCTATTCGTGGCACACGGTAGAGAGCGCGGTGGCAAAGGGAATTTTAACTCGGTTTCACTGCGGCTGCGCGCGCCGGTTAATCTAATTTACATTTTAAATTTTGCCCAGACCTTCCTTTCGTCGTCGTCGCTCACGCACACACACTCATACAGAGAGACGATGTCCCAACCTTTGGCTCCTTCAGCCGCAAAATGTGTCCTTGCATAATACACGGCTTTTTCTTTTTACTGTCAAGTAAGAGTTTGAGGTTTTTATGCGCGCGCGCGCACCATTCGCATGGCCGTACGTTTGAAGATCAAGCGTGAAGGGTGCCGGATGGACGAGCACTACGCATTTAGAATTATAATTCGCTATAGAATTTGAATGTGCGTATATTCGGCGGGGGAAAGTCTCTACACCCTCGGTCGAATATTATCATTCGAATGATATATTGTTGCGCTCGTTATTTTCGCGTCGACTTCGTCTCTGCGCATTTGATTTTCAAATTTCGAAATGTCGCAGGGACGAAGTTATACACGTATAGTTTCACACTTGAACGATCGAAATTAGACGACTGCGTAATAATTCTTTTCACGGTATTTTTTTCCATTAACCGAGTCTTTGAGTACAATTAACTCTGCGCGCGGGGTCAATGGAGATACAACTCTCCACTCGCCTTGGAGAATGCACACGTCGTGTATATATAGTGCTGGTCCTCGCCCGATCTCGTCGCACTCTCCATCAAACGTCCCCGAAGTCAATATATATTATGCTCTATTACTGCGAGCACGAAGCTCTCAACCCTTTCCCTCCTCCTCCTCCTCAGTGTGCCCTACTCTATAGCAGCTCGTACACTTCGATCAATTAGGCGACAGTTTGACTTGACACTATGTGTATATATACGTATATATATAATATGTGCTACGTGTATTTGCTCGTGAATCGTCGTCGCTGTGCGCGCACTCCCTTGAAGCTCGCTCGCGCGCGCGCGCCGTAAGTCGGAAATTGCGAGTCAACGATATTCGAAACTGGATGTATTTCCTGCGCCTTGACACACGCCGTACACGTACACGTACGCTGGTTATTTCGGCGCTGCTGCTAGAAAATCGTTGTAAATTCGTTTTGCAGCAGGAAAACTAATGCGCGCTGCAGTCCCGATGTGTATGTATAACTTTTCGAAAATTTCAAACTGATTTCGATGCCTTCCCTTCCCCCTGCAGGGTACGTGAAATATTATCCCGAAGACGATGTAACATTGAGTATTTTATACGGTTAAACTTGTGTACGCTCTAGACTTCGATAGATTCGAGATGTATGCAGAGAGATTCATCCGATGCTAAAGGTAATTCAACGCGGCGTTTAAATTAGATTTGCAACATCAGCGTTCAAAAGTTCTGTATTTGAAAGAAATTGTTGATCGCGGTGTGTAGTACGAGTAGCCGTTTAAAGTGTAAATTTGTTATAGCGCGCGCAAATAGCCGCAATATAAGTTATACATTATATACGCGTAATCTTTTTCTCCGATCCCGGGCAAAACGAAATATCAATACATATACGAATAGATTCGCAAAAAGAGTTCTGCGGATCGCGCGATCATGTTCACGGCGGCACTTTATGTATGATATATCTATATACGTGCCGGGGTGTAAATGCATACATTGTAGTGCATAGCCTCGAGCTAATATTATATTATCTCGCGCTCGGTGCGCTCCTGAATGTACGCGCTCTGGTATACTAGAGCTCTCCTGCCCGCGCGCGCGCGCGTATAAGAAGATAAAATGCATATATAGTACGTGTGGTACATTCGCTCGTATATCGAAAGATAAATGCCCGAGTTTCTATATCTGTATATCTATTTGCGTTTTATAATATAAGCTCGCGAGCTTTTCGTTTTATTTTTTTTGCGGTTCGCAAATGTAATTTCAATATTTTCGAGCACGAGCGCGCAAAATTTTCGCGTTTCGAATGTATATTTGAACAAAAATCGGATAAACTGTACCTAACCGGCAATATCTCGTTTGTAATGAATTCTATATAACGCCTCAAGATATATTTTAATCGTGTTTGCCACGAATCGTACCCTCTTTTTGTACGAAATAACGGCTTCTTCACGCGCGCGTTACTGTATTCAACAAAATCCAAAAAAAACGACATAAAAACAGTTTAGTTTAACAGAATTTTGAGGTAATTCTGTTAGCGTGCATAGAGATTGTTTTGTTTTTTTCGGTAAAAATCGTTTTTTTTTGTATTTTTTTTTTTAAGCTCGAATCCTACAGCCGACGATAAAGTATTGAATAAATATTAAATAAGCCACTTGAAAAGAAGTCAGAATTCACGTTCTTCGAAGCGAGCTAATAGTTCGTTCGTTGCATATTATGGGTCAATTAACGAAAATACCGCGTGCTAAATGTTTCATAATTTTATCTTCACTATACATTTAAAAAAGCACACGGAAGTCACGCTGGTTATGATGAATAAAAAAGACCAAGTCCAAAGAAAAATTGGTATATACAAACTGACTATACATATATACCTGCGCGTAAGCGCATGCCCGGGAGAATAAAATAAGCCACAGGGCTAATGCAAATCCCCGAGGAGATAAGAGTCGTGCGGCACCGATGCAGCGCGGGGCGCGCGCGAAGTGACTTTTCAGGGAGAAAGAGAGAGAGAGAGAGAGAGAGATAGAGATGCAGAGAGGCTTCTTCGCGCTCTCGTATAGATGTATTCGTATATACGTGCGTGTGTATGTGTGCACACGCTCATAGACAGGGTTAATTCCGCTGAATGCATACTTTCTTTTTCTCTTCTGCCTTTGTGGGCCGCCCTTTACTTTTAATAGTTGTCACTCCCCGGTGAGTTAATTTTTCTCTTTCTCTCTCTTTTTTTCACTCCCTCCCTTATCCTCCTCGACTCGGCCACGTGCACTTTTCCACGCTCGCCATCTTTATCGTGCTCGTCCCTAAATTAACTTTTCGAGCCCTGCGCGAATATCGGCTAACGCACTTATACGAGCGTCAAAGAAAAGACGAAGATTCTTTATTCTTTTTTTTTCAACGAGGCTTGGCTTCTATTGTGATGATCGTTACAGGCCCATAGGTATGACGTTGGCTTTTTCAATATTCATCATTTCCGGTTAAAAATTCAGCGCTTTAATTATGATAACGTAATATTATATTAGAGCTCGTGTACGCGGCTGCACGCGCGGCGGCATCGTTCGTCAATTTCGTCAACTTAATTAAATTTTTCGTTTACACAGGAGTGTAAGAGATGAAATTATAATATTCAAACGCGCGGGTAAGTTCATAATCCGCGCGCCACGGCAAGGGACACAATGATATCGTTTAGGCTTTTAGATTTTATACGCGAACGAAAATTTTGCAGCAATGTCGAAAGAATTAATTTTCCGTAAGAGAGACATCATTTCTCATTTTCATCTCAAAAGCAGTAGAAAATTACGTTTTAAAAAGTCGGTAGCCGGGGCAAAGATGTCGTGTCGGGATAACGCACACGTATATATACTTATATAAATTATCTCTCTTCAGCAAGGATAAAATTGAAACATAAATTTCGAGCACTAATGCACGTGCCAGTCACTATCTATACAGTACCTCAAGCTCGAAGTCTCAAGCTGTGCAGCGTAGAAACGACGATTGTACGCCGTCAAAAAAAATGTCTCTTTACCTCGGCCTATACAATTTTTATCAAAGCTATAAATTTTGTCCGTGGCCGACTAATCGATCGTATCGTAATGAAATATTCTTTGACGATTATTCTTGAGCTTCGTAAAGCAGTGCTTTGGACTTATACAATTATTTTTACTTTGCCACTTTCAGTTTACAGATAAAGGTATTCGCCATCTGGTGGTGGACGCTGAAAGTGACGATTTTTCGGATACAATTATAAGCTTTAGCCCAGTTTTCAACCACTTTAAATGCATTGATACTTTAAGCCTCTACCACTAGATGGCGAGTACCTCTATCTGTGAATCTAAAAGTGTCAAAATGAAAATAATTGTATAAGTCAAAATACAATTTTATTAGTAACAAAATATTACATTATTTAGTATAGCTATATATAACTAATATTAAACTTAGCATAGTAAAATATTATAAACTCAGTGACCTTATATACTTATAGTGTTTGATGTTGTATACACATCTGATCGAGCAGATGTCACCAAATCGAATAATAATACAATAATTTTAATGAATGGACGATTTTCAAGTATGATACACTAGGATTAATAAGTTCTGCAAGTCACTCGAGCAAAGCGCTCACGATTAAATCGCGTTTTGTCCAAGAACCAAATAATTTTCATCCGGGATATTCGTTATTTTCTGTATCCATCAAACGACTGATCGAATTCCGGCGTTCGTCACCGCAGGAATGCCTAAATACTCGGGGTTTGACTCGGTTGAATACGATACGCACTAATAGCTATACGAATCGAGCTCAAATCAAATTAACGGATAAAGCAAAACGATTATACGATATAAAACCGAGGAGCGCGTTTTACACTTATATATTAAAATAATTTCTTTAAAAGCTCAATCAAAACTGAGTGTGTGCGGGCGGTAAGTGCGACATGAATAATAGCGCGAGCTAGAAATCCGAAATGAGCGCAAAATTCACGTATAAATAATATAATCGTTCTTTAGTCGAGCGCGCGTAAAACTAATGAAGTCGCGAGAGAGAGAGAGAGGCAAAAGACATCGGCGCACGACAACTGCTACTTTAAAAGTAATTAGAAGGTCGCTGCGCGAAGCCAAGGTATATCTATATCGGAAAGCTAGCGCAGGGTGGGTTTTAACGTTTCTTTCTCGAGGCTTAAATATAGCGCGAGTATTAAGATAGTATAAACGGAGTATTGGAGCGTCGCGAGTAAAAAAAAATCACACGCCATTACTTCGATGCATACATGGGGGAGAAAAGCTTAACTCCTTATACGTGCACGCGATCATCCCGAACATTCAAATGTAAAAGTTTTCACGCGCGCCGCTGAATTTAGGTCAGTCTTGCGACGAAGAAAGAGAGAGAGAGAGAGAGAGCTAGAAAGCATTAGGCCGCGGGTGAAAATCGATGCTCCAGCTTCGGAAATACCGTAAAATTAATGAACCGAATTAAGGAAGTAGCAGCGCGCGCTCTTCCCCCAGCTATCTTAATGTTTTCCATTTGGATAATGCTTATAAGGCGGCGAGTGTATAGAGCGAGCGCACGCGCGGTGGGGGGAAGATAATTTGATTTTTATCGGTAGAAATAGTGTAAACTTTGTGCAAAATTTTCTTTTGCTCGAGGTAGAAGTTTTCCTCGCTCTCTCTTTCGCCCTGCACTATATACGCTGAGTTAATGAATTTTATTTTATGACGCGATAAAGAGAAAATTCGTACGATTCCAACATTTCGTCTCTTATTCTCTCTCTCTCTCACTGCGACTCGTAAATATATCTTGTTGAGTGTGCCAATTAATCACGTTTTTTGCTCTAATGCGACTGTGCGTGTCACCGCAGGTAGCTCGTTCTCTCCCTCTCTGCGTTCATCAATCTTCATTCGAACGAGCGGACTCTGCGAGGATAGATAAGAAAATTCGAAATACATTGGGAGAAGGAGGAGGAGGAGGAGGAGATCTTTTGCACTGAGCAGCTCTCGACGGATCATCAAGATCAATTATACACCCCGCTGGTTTGAGAATGAAAATTTCCCTTAGCTCACCCCATGCACGCGCGCACAAATTCTTCTTACCTTGTAATGAACAGTCTCGCCGGCGATGGAGTTCAGCACAGCCAGAAGCAGGATCAACAACCTCAGATCGACGAGATTTCTTCTTCTAGTCGGCGACATCTGGAACAAGAAAAATACGAAGAAATTTGTATTATTATCAGCGTGACTTTTCTCGTGTATACCCGTACGCATTTCACATCGATGCGCGTGCACGATGTATATTATGTGTGTATACAAATCGTCGTCAAAGAGGGATGTTTATGAGTTTCGCTTTTCACCGGCGACGACGACGATGAAGACGTCGACGGGGTGCTTTGAAGTTCTCGAAATAATTTCGAATCATATATATGATGATAAGTTTGCCGCCAGCACAGCTTCGTTCATGTATAATATAGACACGCGTCGCGGAACTTTCGCTCGCGCGCCGTTGCGATAGTAGCGCGATATAAGATACTCAAGGAAGATTTCAAGTCAAGTAAAAGCGAAACCGAAGGCAGAAATTGATAATTTAATGAAAAGTTTGGAAAAACAGGAGGCGTGCGCGGGTACTCGTGCGCGCGACTATATATTTACTGCATTAGGAAAGTAGGTATTTATGGATTATATAACATTATGCTTTTTGGAGGAGTTGCTCAACTTTTCGCCTCGTTGTGTGTAGCGGTGCGACGAACTATATATTGAACGAAAAATCACATTGTAAAGAGTTCCTTGTAAATACTTTAGTATACTATAGCAAGTAAGAATTTTTAATTTATAATATCAGCCGCATCTAGTAATGTGCAATCATTAATAATTCATGTAAGTGTTAGATGTGACATGAAGCGCCATTAACAAGGGAAAACGAAAGTCGATTTTTTTAACAAATTTGTCGAGTTTCGTGCGGCACGGATTTCGCTTCATTGATTGAGATATTATAGAGTTCAGAATAAAATGTCCTTAAAAAATATACTTATCATTAGGTTGATCAACCGACACGTCGGCCCATATTGAGTATTAACTCTTAGTTTCAACCTTGTATAGTTAGCTTTTGGTCGATGAAACAGTTACTTATAAAAACATTTTCACTTTGGCACTTGCAGGTTTACAGATTTGAAAGTGTTCGCCATCTAGCGGTGGAGGATTGAAATGATTGAAAAGTATCTACATTTTTTGAAACGGTTAATTGATCATTTTCGGATCATTTGAATTTCATCAACATATAATTGTAATGAGAAAATCGGCAACAACAAATCATTTAATGACAGTGAATTTAAATATACTTTAAATTCAAATAGTTATTTTTTGGTCATCAGTCCATTATTAATGCTGACCATTCTTACCAGAGTTAAATGCCAATAATAATAAAAATCGAAGTTTAGTTTCAAAAAATCTTGGGCGTAAATCAGTCACGCCTTATAGATAATTTACGCCGAGCGCCACCCGAGAAAAAAGCTCGCTCACAATCGTATCCATCTTGTAAAGCATCGCTTCTACTAACCTCGATACCTGTACGCGCGTGCTCTGCGCCTATTGTATAGCCGCACAATTACACACTCGAAAACTCCGTGTCAGGATATCCACACACGTAATGTGTGCCTGGCGAGGTATTGTGTATTATATACGATGCTGCTGCTGCTGCTGCTACTAGTGCACATGTATATGATACATATAGGCGCGCGCGCGCACACGTAGTCCGTGTTTCATCCGAGAGGTTTGCGGGTTGCAAACTTTCGTAATATCGCGTATTAAATGTCGCACATGCACGTTGTACCGCGTACACGACACCCACGCACACATACACGCACCCACTCGCACGAATATGTGTATGTGGTACAGCCTGTTGCCTAGAAAAAAGTTTGTACATATTATTTGTCACACACCGTATATACAGCGACTTTTATACCGTGTGACCATATCGAAGTTGTTTCTATCTCTATCTGTCGGCGCGATGACACGAGCGCGAGCGTAAATTGATCAATCGCGAGAAAAGAAACGGATAGAGAGCTTTAAAAGCTCTATATACGGGAAACGAGTATTTGGGCTAACGTACAATTTAAAATTTATCGATTTTCTAAAAGTTGCTTCGTGCAAAGAGAGAGAGAGAGAGAGAGAGAGAGAGAGAGAGAGAGAGAGAGAGAGAGACACGAGGCCATCTTTTACACGGGCAAACTCTCTCTCTCTCTCCTCTCTCGGCGCGCTTAAAACCCTCCACGGATGAACTATTCAGCGTTCGATCCTCCTACCTCCTCGTCCGCCTCCTCCTCTCTCCCTTATGGCGCGTAACTTTCTATCCTCTCTGGCAGAGCAACCGCATAACCACCGCAGCAGCACGACCACCTATCTCTCCTGCTGCTGCTGCTTCTTCTTCTCTTTCGCTTTCTCTCTCTCTCTTTCCCTCTCTCGTAAATACCTCGAACTCGGGCATAGAGGTGTGATAAGCGTATAGGTATATATGCGTCGTACACATCGACGCGGCCCCCGAAACAAATCACAATCGGCAAAGATAACACAAAAGTTGAAAGCCGCGTTTGATGCCCCGAGTACACACATACACACACACACACGCCCAAGAGAGCAGGAGGAGTAAAAGAGAGAGAGAGAGAGAGAGGCCAAACTGTTATATAAATACATTGTAGTCCCGTCTGCGCGAGGAACAGGAGAGACTTAAAGCTCGGAAGCTTCAAGTTAGACTCGAGGAGATTTACAGAGGATTTCGGGGGATAGCTTATGTATAAATAGAACTTGCTGGCTCTCTCGTAAATACCTGGGATATAATACGCGCGCACGCCCTGCCGCGCGTGGATGAATCGTTCGGACGGTGCATATGGTCGCAAGCTCGCTTTATTAACTTTTCCACGGGGGGGTGGAATTTGCATTTCATTTTTGATACAGACACGCACGCACGAGGCGACGCTTGGGTCACTATAAAGTGAATTAAAAACGCGCGGCGAGAAAGACAATTAAACGCAAAGGAAGATTGGTTCCGAACGATTAAGCGGATTTTGCGGGGCTCTCTGCGGCGGCGGCAGCAGCGGCAGCAGCAGCGAACCGAAAAACTGTCCGCGCACACCCCGATTCGTCCGTCTTTTTCTCTTTCGTTTATATGATGATATATAAAGCTGCGGTGGAATCTCGTCGATTTAGCCTAATTTATATGCATATGCTAATGTAGCGCCTCGCGCGCGCGCGCAGTTTGGCGCGCTTGCGTGCTGATATATATACGTATATATCACTCATATTGTAGTTCTTCCTCGGTGCTGCACTGCGCGCCTCTGCAAGCCGCAAAAGTCGGGATTTCGTTAAATGTATGCGCACGAGTGCACCGAAGGAAAAGAGAGAGAGAGAGAGAGCTAGCTATATTTGGGTACGACGACGGAGTCGTTTGAGTATAAAAAAGAGGGAGAGAGCACAGAGGGTATAAAACGAGAAATTATACGAGAGCCGTGCGTCAACGTGGTATATAACGCGCGCACGGCACTACCACACTATACGTTCGCGCCGAAAAGCTGAAAATCCCGAAATTCGCTTTTACGCTACATTTATTATAAGCGCAGCGGCGCCTCGTTTGCAGGTGGTCTGTACCCCACATCCCACATCAATAGAGTCCCTAGGCTCTNAACATCTGTCCCCTTTTCTGAAACTTTAACAGCAGTTACCTGTATTGACTAACTCTCTGACATGAGGCAAGAGTTTATTGGTTTTCCAATCTCATTGAAAATTGTTCGAATGTGGCACATTTGATGAGCAGTTCTGTAAATTAATAAAAATCAAAATTATTCTTGATTAATTGTCACATTAATTGATTTTCAAAATGAATAATTTAATTTTGTTACTCACTTTACTCTATTAACATTGTATTGCTAACCTTGTTAAGAGTTTTCCTTGTGTTTATTGATTTTGAGGAGTGTAACTAACATTATCAAATAGCTTCGACACACATACATGTGAGCTACATTTTGATGATGAGTGACTTGTACTAGTGTCAATGTGAACCTTCTTTAATTTCTCCAGGAAGGTCTATCAGAGCATCCACAATAGTCTTAAGTTGGTCTTCATCGAATGCCACATGAGCTGCCTTTTATCTAAGTGACTTCTAGGGCAAGACGAGCAATTTTAGGAGTTTTCAATGATAACACGTACAATGAAGCCACTGCAGCTGTTCTTTGACCTAAAAAATATGTAATGTCTGGTATTATCGCTGTATGTATAGAATCATTCTATATACAAGCCTCTGAGTAGCTTACATTATATATTTACCAGTGAAAAAATTTCAACTTCAAGCTCATAATGGAATACATCACACATGTTGTTCTTTCTTTGAGAAGTTTGCATTCAACTTCTTGTATCATCTTTCGATCCAAAGTGTGTTCTATGCAGCAACAAGAAGCACTATTGAATAATTTAATGACATTGACTCCCATAATAAATATAGAAGAACGGACCATTTGGATGTCTGCGTGCAATCCTTCTCTTCTACATATCATCTAAGAAATGATTATTGAAATACGTTAATTCATATATAAAGCTATCTAATGGTGGAAAAACTAACTTACACTCTAGGATAAACTTTTCTTAATAACCACATAAACAGCCATGTGAAGAATGCAATTCTGATAATTGTTTATTTGAGCTCTTACTAGACCAATGGGACAAAGAAACATTGAATATGAACTCTATGCGAAGAATTATTTAAATCTTCTGTGGTAGTATTCAACACAAAATTTCTGTGAAATAATTACCAGTAACCAGTAAATTAAATGAAGTATATTAAATGGTAAAGCTAAAGATATTCAAATTTACCTATTATCGACTCCCAAAGAACAACGAGTTACTCAACCTCAAGAGTTCACTTCATAAGCGTTTACATTTTTAATTAGATTCACTGCATTGATTGTTCTTTTGAAAAGTTATTTTTGGTCAGCTCATTCATCACGTTCAGCATATACTGAAAAAGTTTTTGCTCGAACATCAACTTGAAGTTGAAATACCCCAATTAATTTTTCATAGCAGTTTAAATACTATCCAGCTTATCAATTCCAAGTATATGTTGCTAAGATCCAAACATTTTATGCACAGTCGAATCACTCCAGATAAATCTTTACTTTTATTATTGATAGATGGAAAATGACAGTTTGATACAGTGCACGAGTACATTTTCATCAGCTGCAACAAGGTGCATAAGTATTTCCTTTTCTTCTAACTCTTCAACTCAAATTGCAGAGGTAGTGTTTGTTTTTTTTTTTTTTTTTTTTTTTTTTTTTTTTTGTAAAATCAACTGACCCAGAATTGATATCACCTATCCTGATTCACCTACACTAACCTCAAAACCCACTAGTATTAGTCACTGTAACTGTTATTACACTTACTAGTTTAAAGTTTAAACTCGAATGCAGTTTGAAACGATTTCGCGAAATATAAATATTTGCAAGTAATATTCGCATGGATCTTCTGTTACTAACCTCTAAAATCACTAGTCACTATACTGTCTCTACTCGTGATGATTTACACAATCCTTCACTTACGGCGTTATAAAGTATATATATAGGCCGATATATATAGGGCGATTGACATTTGTACTTCGCACACTTGCAGTGAGCCAAGGCCCAACACTCAGCAGCCGTAGCTGAAAGCGGCGTGTTCGCTCCTATACTAAGAGTACAGTGTTGCCGCTTCGATTCGTCGTGCTGCTATATACGAGCTGCGAGGCGCGAACGATCACCGAGCCCGGTAGTACGGCAAAGTCGCCTTTCAGCATACCGCACTGTTGCGGCAACACACGTAGAGTTTCGGGACGCTGACAAGTACATACGTGTATTATACACTATACAGTCTCGTATACTACGAAGTGGGCCATTCGGCTCTATAAGAACGGAGTTTGCTGTTTGTTTAGCACAGCTTGTTGTCATCTCATGGATGAGTCGCATGCCTCTTACATTACTATATTGTATACGTACGCGTATATCAATGCATAAGATTCAAGCCATTGCGCCTATTTATGTAAATTGACAGTGTACTCCGTGTACCATACGTGAGTGCTTATGTGTGATACTCATTGAAGTTTAATACGTAAAATTTGCACATAGTTTACATTAATAAAAAAAAACGAATGTAATTTGACACATTATTCATAAAATTAAATTGAATTTTTCTTACTTATTTTCGATTAACTAATAGTCGAATTATTTTCAATCTAATTACTAATACTTATTTTCCTTCAATCAAATGAAGAATCGAAAAGATCCCCTTCTAGGTGTAATCATTTTTTGGCGAAAAATTAATACTTATCACACCGTTGATATAATCTACGATCGAAATTTGACTTAATTAATAAGAAACTCATATAATTTGATAAGATTGAAAAAAATAAAACTTTCACTTCTAAGAATAAAACTTTATTTATTTCAATTTTCAAGTGTCATAGTCATGAAAAATTCAATATAAGCGTAATATCTCTTTTTAAATTTTATGTGTTGTAATTACTTTATGTTTACGTTTAATTGTTTTAATCATATCATATTATATGAGATCATATTCTTGAAAAAAATGATCTCTCTAGACGGGGATCTTTCCGCTTCTTCATTTGATTGAAGAAACTTAATAATTAGCTGTTTGATTGAAAATCATTTGATTATTAGTTAATCGAAAATAAGTGATAAACATTTAATTTAATTTTATGAGTAATGTGTAAAATTACATTCGTTATTTTTTATTATTATTATTATTTTTATAAACCAGATAATTTTTACTTATTGAACTTTAATGAGCAATACATAAGCACTCGGGTATGTTACATTCATTACACAGTAAATTTGACTAAACATGACAATGCTTCTCGTTTGAATCTTAGGCAGTGATGTACGCATAAAAAAGTCATGCAAGAGGCACGCGACTTCTCTACAAGTAACTGTTGGCTATGCTAAACTCCGTTTTTAGCTTCACGCCTGCTGAGTCAAACAGTCTGTATTCATGTATGTACTAGAGACTGCGGCCCGAGACGCGTACCGTCGCCGCAGTAGCGGCATGCTGAAATGCCAATTTGCCGTACCGGCCTCGCTGAGAGCTCCGAGCTTGTAGCAGAACGGCGAATTGAAACTCATGCCGTCGGCGCAACTCAGACTGAAAGAAATGCGAGTTTGCCATACCGGCCACGCTGATCACTCACAAGTCGTCGCAACACGGCGAATCGGAACTCGTGCGGTAGCGGCAACACTGCGCTTAGAAGTAAACACGTCGCTTTGAGCCCCCGCTGCCAGACCATTGCTCATAGCAGGCGAGTGGACGATATTAGCGCATACTTGATAACATCGTAAACGAACGACTGTGCAAGTTATGACTCTTACTATAGTGAGTAGAGACAATATAATGGCTAACACTACAGTGATTTTAGAGGTTAGCTCAGTCGAAGAGAAGATACGTACGAATGTCACTTGAGAATGTAGACGAACCACTGCATACAAGCTTCAACTACAGAGTGTGACAGCGTGACAACTAAAATTAGTGAGTTTGGTGAAGATAAAACAGAAAATCAAACGAGTTCTAAACGTGAAATGTTGTTAACTAGTTGTGTCTAAATGTTGTTAACTAGTTTTGTCTAAATGTTGTTAACTACTCCTTAAATCAAAATACTATTTCTGAAATTTGAGTTGAATTGAAGTATTAGATAGAAAAAAATAAGAATGAATGAATTTTAGCTGATAAGAAATGTATATAAGCATTGAAGATTACTATATCTGCCATTTTTTATCAATAAAAAGAGCTAAAATTTATCTGGAGTACTTGGCTTCATATTAAATGTTCTACAGACATTTAAAACAGTATCAACAGTTGAAATAAAAATATTTGATATACATGGAACAAGTAGCTAGATAATATTCAAACCACTGTGAAATATGTTGATGAAAGATTTCAAAAAATCATCAAGACTTGTAGAAGCAAAAACTCTTTTAGTACTTGATAAACATAGTAAACTAGAAGAAATTGATAAAATTACAATTAACGCAGTGAGTCTTATTAAGAATGTTAAAGCAAATGAAGTGAAACTTAAGGTCAAGCAACTCATTATTAATTGGGAGACACAAATAGGTAAATTTTATCATCTTTAACATAACCCTTTATTATACTTAATTTGAACTTATTACTTATTGATAATTATTCTACAGAGATCTTGTATTGAATACCACCACAGAAGATTTAAATAATTCTTCGCATGAAGTTTATACTCAAGGATCATGTAGCAGAATTTTATTCTTTAAAGAGGCTGCTTTGTTGGTTAATAATAAATACATATCCTGGAATGTAAGGTAATATTTTTCACTATTAGGTATTTTATATACAAATGTAATTTTTCAATTATTATTTCTCCATAGAATGATGGTCTTTGGAAAAAGAGAGCTGTATAATGGTATGCAAATGGTCTATAGTTCTGTTTGTAGATTACGTATTTTTATGGAAGATCTTTTACTTAAACTTGAAGTATCAACAACGACACCATTGAATGGTTCTTCTCGTTGCTGCAAACTTTGATAAATAAATAATACAAAAATTTTAACGCAGACGTCCCATAGAAGAAAAAAAACATTAATGATGCGTTTAATCATAGGCTTGAAAATTCAGTTTTTAGAGGTAAATGTTTTACATAAGCTACTTATTACAGCAATACTTTAATACTTGACATTACATCTCTTTTATATTTTTGTTTGCAGAATCTAAGTCTAGGCTGCATTTTGACAGGGATCATCCCAGAAAATATTCTTTGGTCAACCAAAAAAATTAAAGATTCATTCGCTACAAAATGAGTCTCCATGAGTAGTGTAGAGTTTACATTTTGAGTACCTCGCCTCATGTTTATATTACAGAGTTAACAATTCCATCTCTAGGAGAAAATACTGAGTTTTCATTAAAACAAGAAAGATAGTAATTCTTCTCTTTCACTTTTGACAATTTGTTGGATGCTACAGATAATGTTAATTTTTTAATTCTATGTATAACAATATGTATGTAGATGTATTTTTTAGTGCACAAAAAATTCGTATAAAATTATGTATATTATTTTGAGTATGAGCAAACTACATGAAACTAACATTAACAATTCTCATGCCTTTGCATGATTTTTAGTAAAGACAGTTTAGAAAATTGTCACCAAAACATGTATGTAAAAATATGAATTAATTAATAGAAGAATAAATTGTTGTATTTATTACTTTCATAAAGTATGCACATAATTCACATGGCAGTAACTTTCACAGTTAAATAAACATTGATAAAACATAAATTAATATCATATTATTCAATTCTCTTTGAATACAACTATTTCTTATGTAAGATAGTCGTCACCTCAAAAATGATTTCTGTACAACTTTCATGACATCAAAATTTAAGCATTTTAATCTTCAGGCTATTTAGAATTCATTCTCTCATTCTAATTTTATGCTTCTTTTGATTTTGGTTTCTAAAATTGAGTAGCCATTTGTAAATATTTTCATTACGGTTTTTACTCTTCTAGAATCTCTCTTCTAATGGCAATTACTTCTTGACGTGTTGAGACAATTCACTGCATCGCCTAATCACACCTACTCAAACCTAATCACACAAATGAAATTAGGGTCTGATCGACTCATGCTAGTCTTGGCATTTGATTAATATCTTTTGATCACTAATTGATCAAATTTTTATTTATACCTCTTCTGTTTGAACCATCAAATAATTCAGAATTTTCTTCAAAGTTCGATCTTGCCAACTGGAGAGAAAGCTCTATATCAGTCACTTGAAAATAATTTAGATCACCTTTATCATACCAACGTTTTTCTATTTCTTCAGTCAAAACAACTTCATTGATCAGGTCTTGAGTGATTGCCAGCAAACGTTGATTCTGCTTCTAAAGGAATAATTTTTCCATACAATATTATAGCATTTATAGTCATTCCGTTTACAAGAACAGCACTAGGTGTTGTGTAGAGTAATTTGAAAAATAATTGTATTCTAAGCTTCTGCTTATTGAAGGAACGCTTTGACGTTACCCTTCTTGGCGAGATGTTTTATGTATTTTTCTGATCTGAAACGTCACTTCTGTAATACACTCACTGACACTTGATATTGACAGCTCGGTGGCTGCTGCTCATGATTAGGTTAGACTACCACTGTTGGCCAAGTGTATTCGAGTACACCGAAATCAACGCCATCTCTTAGAGAGATTGTTTTATCGTTGCGATGATACGTGAAAAATAAGAAAATTGCTAAATTAAACGGATCGAAAAAAGGCTCTGTGGGAGCATTCATTTTGTTGCTCTGAATAACTGAGTCAAATTTCAGTTCATTCCGTTCAGCCGTTTTTCTGGAAAACGTGTTTGAAATTTTCAAACACGTTTTCCGGGAAATCTGGTCGGTGGAATTGGCTGAAAATTTTTTCTCGTATTCATAGTAACAATATAAATGCTCCCACAGAGCCATTTTTTGAAATTCGATTTAGAAAAGAAGATATAAATTAAACAAATTTTTGCACCTCTGTCGGTAAAAAATGTGGGGTACAGACCACCTTAACGAATATTCATTTCTAGGCGCACGCCGTGTAGGTGTTCTCTGCCTCGTTATATCGAGGAAATCTTCTGCGCCTTTGTGAAAAATACACGCGTGCGTCGGCGATTAATCCATTTTTAGGACGTCAGCGCTATCGTGTTCTTTGATACCGTCATTTATAATAATGGGACGAAAAAAGAAATCGCGCAACATTGTACAACGCATCGCGATTGCGCGTGTGCTCGCGCAGTTGAAATAAAAGCCGGAAAAGTGTAGCCAAGGGAGGATATGCTCTTGGTTGTCGGGAATGAAAAAAAAAAAAACAAAATGGATAAGCTCGCGCGCAAACAAGTGCCTACAGTGTCAGTGGTACACTGGAGGGAATGTATATAGGTATATACGTAATAATAATGTAAGCCGAGGCGACGAGAAAGAGTCTCGTGTTTTCTCGTTCGCTGCAGTCCTCGACGTTTTTTTTCGAACAAAAGCGCGCTCGCTTTGCGCTCTTGTGCGCAAAACGTGTACACGCACACACCCAGATGCACCCAGTCACAGACAGCTAAGTAAACGTGAATTGCTGGCGTCGGTCTTTCTCTGAAGCGATGCGCTTACGTTTCTGCTGCACGAGGATATTTAACGTGCATTACCATCAATGCCCGCGTTTGTTCTGCTTATATACGCTTCACGCAGAGCCAAGGCCGCATCGCTTTAAAGCAGCTACTTGTTTTTTGCTTCTTACTATCCAGCAAATGTTAATATTGCCCCTAAAAAACGATCGTATGAATATACAGATCTTCTCGGTCCTCCACATAAAACGCATATGAATACTTCGCAAAGATAGGCCGCGCGTATCTTACTTTACACGCGCATTGTGAGTTAGAAACCGCGAGCGAGATGCAAATTCACAACTTCGTACACTTTGCGTCTCGCGCACGTGCCCACCGCTGCAGTCCGTGCATATATATATACGTACATGTATATGCGCGCGGGAGATATGAAAACGAGCGCGGGACGGTATGCGAGGTCACGTAGAGCTGCTGCTGCTGCTGCTGCACACATGGAAACCCGAGCTGGGCCGTTATGGCGCACATACGCGCCCACACAAACATTCGCCGTAACAGCTCTACAATTTCTACTTTGGGTTGGTAAAATTTACGCCGACTCTTGGAGGGTACACCTTAAATCTTTCTGTAATGTGCAGCTTTGCTGTGCTGCGCCGTGTGCAAACGCGAGCGGGGGTTGATCCTTGCGAGTTCGTGTGATGCAGATTGAGATGATTTTATTCGTAACGGCCGAATCGACGGGATACCTCTCGCGTACCCACTGAGACTGTTTACAGCAGCATGTATCGTCGTATATTATTACACTGCCGAGAGCAAAAAAAAAACTATTTGTAAAAGCTCGCTTGGTAAACTTTTGATTTTCAGATAATATCTAACTGAAAAAATGTGAGCCGGTAAATTGAAGTAAAGAGTAAACTTTCAATGTCCGCGCGCGCGTTAATTGAACGCCGAAACAACATTATATTACTTCAACTTTTTCTCGAAAACTCGTGGATACTAATTCAAATAAACTACTTTTTGCAGTGAACATTACACACACACACGCGCATACACAGCACCGTCGAAGCTTTTAATGCTCGTAACGACGACAAAATTTGCAATACAAATAAAGCGAGGGAAAGGGGAGTAAAAAAAGAGAAGAAAATTAGGTCAGCCCGGATCCGAAAGTTTGGTTTTCGAGCGACTGTGTGTGTGTACGTGTGTATGTATATTAAGTAAACGTATTATGAATTTTTTCGTGCGTAAAATCGCGCAGGTAGCGTCGTTAAAGCTGCACAGCGCGCGCGCGCTGAAAAACTGCATTATACAAATCGAGATCGCCTGCACGTGAACATTACATACCCACAGATACACGATAAGAGTCGAGGTCGCAAAAATGAAGTACAAAGTTTTTCATCGCGAGTACACTGCCGTGGATTTATACAGCGCATAGAAGTCGCGTATAAGCGAGCGCCAGAGATGCACGATATATAGATCTTATAAGTAGCGAAACGAGGCATCCGGGGGTAGGGGGTCCGTTCGACAAACATTTGCCAGACCTTGGCAAACAGTCAGGTTTGAGCTTGATAAAACACATATATAAATGTGTATAGAACCGACTTGCTGGCTGGCAGCATCCTTGTGTGCGTTCGTAATAACGAGCCTCTGCTGCCTCTGGTGCACCTTTGCGCCGTCATCGCCGAGATGCTTCAGCGCGCAAGAGAAAGAGTGCAATAATAACGCGGTACGTTTTCATTCGAAACGATATTTGAAATTATACAATATTTTGTTTATATCTCGACGAAGCATTATTTATACGCGAAAAAAAAGGGGGAAATTCGAGAAGGCGAAAGTGATTAGCACTCGTGATCTCGCAGTCTCGATACACACACGTCGCTCTATACACGTATCGTGCAGCGAGAGAGCCCACATCGATAAAAGATATAAACTTGTGTATACAATCTGTAATCCAGCACGTCTGATCCACCTCTTCCGATTCCGAGCGAAGGACTCAAGTACGCTGCACACACACACACACCCATGGACCTATACATACGAATGCCAAGGCTTATTCCCAGTTATCCTAAAAGTGAGTCTGTCTGGCTTGACTGGTAGAGCTGTATATATATATACGCCCCAACGTACATCCGCACAAAGTATATACGTATATAGCAGTATAGCACCTTTGCGCCTTGCCAGAATCGTTTTTGTAAGGGATGCACGTATACGTTAGAGGCAAAAAAGGATTTGACGTACGACGTCTGCCGCTACTGCTGCTGCTGCTGTGCTCTTTCACGTCGTCTTTTTACCCTCCCGAGGAACTTCTCGCACTTGGCTTTGCTTCCTTTATTTTTTTTTTTTTTTTTACTTATTTTTGAATTTTTTTGACAGCTGCCGCTCTACGCTGTGTTGCCGTAGTAGCAGCAGCAACAGCAGCAGGTGCGTAAGATGATGCTCCACCGAGCAACGCCTTTACAGCGTATATAAGGCGAGAGAGCGCCTGATTGAGTTTTCAACGCGTCTTTAAAACGAGTTTTTTTTCTCTCTTTCTCGACGCGCTCGCATGTTCGGGATGTGTAATACAACGTCGAGAAGAAATGTTTTCTCTCTATACGCGCAGGCGAATTACGAGCGCGTAAATAATACGATCACGACCGTTTCATCGTATCTAGCCTTTGATAATCATACAAACAGCGGCGTATATCGGGCGCGCGCGCGATTGACGAAAATTTATCTCTATCTCTCTGTTCTCGCTGCTACTGTTGCTGCTTTGCCATAATTCGTAAACACACATTTGTGATTTGTATCGGTTATTATAAGAGCCGTGTTGCGTATATAATGAAACACTATCTCTGCTGTGCTGCGGCTTTTGTCGCAGTGACGGACGGGGACAGCCGCGCGCGCGGGTCAGAAGCCAGAGCAGCTCGAGCATGCGCGTTACGTATTTTTCGGCGCTCTCGCTCCATCTCTCGGTACACGAGCCGCGTATAACACGCGTTGGTGAAAGTACGCGCGCCTCGTGCTACTTATCGCATCGAAACTTGTAAAAAACTGAATTCGTCATTTGTATCGCCTTCGATAGCTCAGTTGGTAGAGCGGTGGACTGTAGTTGGCTTACAATTTGATAATGGAAATCCATAGGTCGCTGGTTCAAATCCGGCTCGAAGGAAAAC